TTTCTAGCTATGTCAAACTTAATTGAACTGATTCAAGTAAAGCAATGGCGATGGCTTCATATTTATGGTACCTCCAAACAACGTTTTGAGGCCAAAACATCACAGTGGGAAAATCAATTTTCTGGTTAACCCTGGGGAAACTAGTGTTTTAGGAGGAGTTTGGGAGCAAATTGATATCCTTACTTGGCTGCTGGAAATTCCAGCAGGAGATTGGAATGACCAGTGTAACCCTGCTTTAGGAGGGATCCTCCCCTACATGGAAATGCTATCTCTGAGTGCAGAGCTTGAAGAGGAGTGGTGAGGGAGGGTGGGAATGCTTGCCAAGTCTGTCACATTAACAGAAACGCAGATGTCACAGCCAGACTGCCTTCAGATTCCTTGCCATGCTGAAAAAATATGCACAGAGACCTGAAATCACTTACATTTACTTTGATGACTATATATTATATATAGTTCTCTATATTATTAGTCAACTAATAAATACCAGCATCTAAAGTATTATTTCTATTGGACATTTCAGTGATGTTACATCTGGCGGCGTGGTACTTGATCTGGAAAAATCCTGTGTCTCTGTTCCTGGCTTTGTGATGATTGAGGCCGTAGAACTGATCCTGGAATTCTCACTTGCTGACTTTTCTGCTTAATCTTTAGAAAATACCAAAGCTACTGAATATTTTAAACCTTTTAAAGCAACTAATGAACTTTATTCATTAGAATTTAATATAGTCACACAGATCACTCAAACAACAACTTTTTTTTTTTTTTTCCAAACAACAACTTTGAATAGAGGCAACTTGAGCCAGCAACTTGAGGCAAAATTTTCTGAGATGATTTTCACCAGTGAAGTTTTCCAACAGATTAATTAGCAGCAGTTTGAGATGCATGCAGATAAAAAGCAAGATTTCATTTAAATGGATTCATTCTATTCATCCTCTAACACAGGAGAGGAAAAACAGTGATTCTATTGATAGATCTGTGTTGAAAGCAGCTAAAATTGATTTATTTTGATTTATCTCTTGGAACCTGATACCTTCGCCTTAGATTTTAAAGAACATACTATCTAATTTAGAGAGAAGGACTTGAAGCAAGGGCGGGGTAAGAATCCAAATCTTGAGATAAAACAACAAAAACCGCAAAAGGCAATGATTATTAAATCTGAGTCTAAATGTTGCTTATAAATTGAAATAGGCTTGACATGACTGGAAGGTTTTCCGTCTTAGATTTGAGTTTCTTGGAAGAATAAAGTTTTGTAAAATGAGCATAAGTAAATTATTGCTAAACATTCACAGGCATAGGCAAAAGCCGAGGGTGGAATTTGGTTTGTTGCTTAGATTTCTGGAAAACTTTGCTTTTATAAATTTGTAGGTGTGAATGTGTTACTATATCCATCTTTGAAAACAATTTGAGCCAGATGTTTTGAGTATCTTTTAGGAAATGTGTCAACTCTGGTTTTACCAAGACCAGAATCAGTGGCTACTTCAGTAGCCATCTTTTTAAGTATCTGTGCCTTTATGGGAGAATTAATAAAGTTCTTAAAGAAAAGCTCATTGTTTAGGAATTAACAATGACAATTGATGCTCTAACCAGGCAAATTCAAATCACCATATTTTATACTCTCTAGCATTCTTTACTAAAATATTTCAAAATCAGTTTCTTAAAATATATTACTATTAGGTTGATTTCACTATGTTTAAGAAATTGCCCATTAGAAAACAACATTGTCTTTTAAGGCAGTACTTGTGCTCTCCACTTTACTGTTTTTTGTTTAATTGTGGAAACTTTTTTTTTCCCCTGGAAAAACACTAGACTTGAGAACAGTTGGTTTGAGTCTTGGTCTTCTTATCAATTAGATGTGTAACTTTGGACCAATTATATAATATGTATTAGCCTTGTTAGTTTCTTTTTTTTTTAATTTTTTATTTATTTCTGATAGTCACAGAGAGAGAGAGAGAGAGAGAGAGAGAGGCAGAGACACAGGCAGAGGGAGAAGCAGGCTCCATGCACCGGGAGCCCGATGTGGGATTCGATCCCGGGTCTCCAGGATCGCGCCCTGGGCCAAAGGCAGGCGCCAAACTGCTGTGCCACCCAGGGATCCCAGCCTTGTTAGTTTCATCTGAAGATAGAACTACTAATTCCCATGGTTATTATGATGTCAAATGAGATAATATATGTAAAAGCCCTTTACTGTGAAGTTATCTATAAAATACAATGAACATGATGATACTGTGCCTTGTTTAATTGATTTTTCACCCAACTAAGGTAATTGCTGTTTAGTAGCACTATCTCTAACTGCTGTCTAGTGACTGTAGATGAGAATCATAGAAGAGTGCTTTAATCTGTTTTTATTTTACTTTGTCTAAGATTTAATTTATCTATTTGGTAAAATGAAGTAGGGGGAGCAATGGAGGCAGAGGAAGAGGGAGAAGCAGACTCCCTGCCAAGCAAGGGCCTTAACTCAACTCTGGGCTTGATCCCTAAACCCTGGGATCATGACCTGAGATGAAGGCAGACACTGAACCAACGGAGGCACCCCAGGAATACTTTAACTGGTTTTTAAATGAATATTATCGGTGCCTTCCCTTTAGCTATTTCATCCCAATGAGTACCTAAGGGAAAAATAGGATTCTATTAAAATGGGATGCTATATTTTTTCTCTCTTAAATTATTGATGCACAGATTTTGTGTTATACTAATGAGTAATAAAAATCCAACACTCAAATGGTGTGGCTCCCAGGACTTTCCAATATTAACCTATCTAACCCTCTCAATAATCTTGGGAGGTGGATGCTTCTATTGCCACCAGTGTGAAGGTAGTGAAATTGAGGCACAGAGACATTAACTTGTTCAATATTAGAGTCTATGTGCTCAGGTTGAACTTGCCTGTACTTTTTATTCAGCTCTTAGAGAAGAGTTTGGGAAAAAAAAAATATATATATATATATCAGGATGAAGGAAGTCATGTATATTGTGTTTTGAATGTGGCAGATGGAAAAATAATGGTGCTTCATGCACATTGTGATGACACAGAGATGGTATCCTGTTTTTCTTTTTTAACAATCAGTACCTTTTACTGGATACATTATTGTTAATTTACTAGGATTACTTGTAAGTGTCAGGCCTGGTGTTCTCCGTCTTAGACTATGAGTGAATAATTGGAAGAAAGAGCCCCAAAATGCCACCCAAAGGGACATTCCAGAGCTCATGCACTATCTTTTTCTGACTTAGACTTTGTTTGGCTTAGTTTCATATACTGTACTTAATGGAGATAGGATTTAAGCTATTCATTTATTCATAAATTTAAAAAAATTTTATTGGAAGTTTTCCATGTACCAGGGATGCTGTGAGGTCCTGAGGAGTAAGATGGTGAATAGAACAGTACATTTTTTACTTTTTGTATTCTGAGAACAGTGGGAACAGACAGACAATAAGCAAATAATGTCACAAGTGGAAGTAACATAACTGCTCTGATGAAAACAACAAAGAAGAGGAATGTGGTACTCCAGGGATGGATGAGAGAAGGTGTTTGGCTAACACGTGGTGATCATAATTTGTTTTCCCCTCTCTATCTTCAGCCCTATACAACACATTGCGGGCACAGGGAGGAAGAACAGAGGGAGGGCAAGTTACAAAGAATTGATGGGGAGCAGAGTTGTCAGGGATATAGTGCATAACCGAGGTAGCCACAGGGGAAAGAAAAAAGAAAAACCTAACCTGAGCAGTGTAACATACCCAGTAAGTTCCTTGCATATATCACTATATCATAGAAAAATAAGTAGTATTTATGGTAACTACCATGTTCAAGAAAAGTTAGTGCATATTTATTCAACTCAACCTGGTAAAAGAGGAAGGAACATGATACTTTCAGAGTGATTTCCATTAACAGAGTTAAAGTATTTTATTGTTTTAGGCCTTATGTGTCAGTTTTTTGGCAGTTTATTTATCCAGAATGTTGAATAAATGAAATTACTGCTTCCATTTATACAAATACTTAAAAGAGACATGAATATTAATTGCAAAAGTGCCACTAGATAGAAAGATAGTAGACCTTGGTTTCTCATTCCAGTTGGTAACCAGGCCCTGGATAGCTATAATTGAGAAATAATTGATTGCTTTACTTTTCTTCCTGCCTCTTGTTACCATCTGCCATTATATTATTTGTTTATCTTTGAGTCCAAAACCAAGTGTAAGAATCATTCAGAATAGACTTTGTCTTTCTTGCTGATTAATATGTATTAGAATTATTTTTAGTGTTTAGAATAGTGCCTGGTTTATGAAAGGTACTCAATGAATAGTCACCGGAATGAATGAATGAATGAGTGAATGAGCTAATCACACAAGTATGTATGTAACAACTGTAATGAACAAATGAAATAGGTGAAAGTATTTTTAAACTATAAATATTCCATACATGCAAGGTGATGCTATTTATTTGAATGTTAGGGAAAAAAAAAAGTCTGCCAGAGGACAACTTATTTGATTATTTATTTATTTTGTATTGGTAACTTTCTCTTTAAACATTTAATTCCTAAGTATTTATCTTCCTTTATATCCATGATTGTAATACTGACCTCTACTTTTATGCTTCTCTAACTCCCTTACCCCCAGTTCAGTTACTCGCTAAAGTAGAGATTCTTAACCCCGAGCCAGTGAACCTTTGGGAAATCCATTGTTACCTCCTGTGGCCTCATGTACTCCCTAAAATAGAAAACTGAGTGTAGTGACTTCTATGTGTTTTACTGTAACTTTTATCTGATTCTTAGAATCTGTGACCCTCAAGTTTAAGAATCATTGCTCTAAACTTTTCTTTTTCTTTTACTCTTTGTTTCTCTGTTACTTTTTCCTTTGCTCCTTGAGATGGGTTTCATTCTCCTTTTTTTTTAATGATGATATTTTGGTATTTTAAAATGCTTATTGTTTGTCCCCAGTGTGTGGTATTCTTGGTTTATCATATGCCTCTGATCCCCACCCTTTTCTCTGTCTCTCTTTTGTCTGGCCAACAGTGTGGGGATGTGCCAACTGCAGAGTTGTCCTATCCAACCCTTCTGGGACATTTACTTCTCCGTGCTACCCTAACGACTACCCTAACAGCCAGGCTTGCTTGTGGACCCTGCGAGCCCCCACCGGCTATATCATTCAGATAACGTTTAATGATTTCGACATTGAAGAAGCTCCCAATTGCATTTATGACTCATTATCCCTTGATAATGGAGAGAGCCAGACTAAATTTTGTGGAGCAACTGCCAAAGGCCTATCATTTAACTCAAGTGCGAATGAGATGCATGTGTCCTTTTCAAGTGACTTTAGCATCCAGAAGAAAGGTTTCAATGCCAGCTACATCAGAGGTATGTAAACCAAAGGCGGTGCCAACCTTCTGCTTTCATTTAACATGTTCTACAATAAACACAAGGACCAGAAGACAGAGTTATGCTCTTTTATGTGAATGTGAATGATTAGGATTAGAATTTAAGGGCACGAATCTGTTAATATTCTCTGAAGATTCTCATTAGCAATATATAGTTAACAGATCCAAAATCTGGTTACAGTAGAACTGAATTTTTTATATTGTTTATATGTAGAATATTTAAAGGCTGCTTGGAACAGATTGTAGATATTCCACAGCTAATAATTAAAAGCTGTAATTTTAACAGCTCTTCACTGAACATTTAAAACATTCCTATTCAGAAATCATTTTATTTTAGACTTTTAAGATGTTGCCCTTTTAAGGAACTATGCTAGGGGACAAATATAAAATATTAGCATATAAATTAAAATAAAAAGATCTATTTATAACTTAAGCTAATAAACAACATAGCCTGAGGAAAGCCCCTTAGAAATGACTAATGAAAGGAAAAAAATATTTCTATCAAGCATAGTTCCCAGATTCTGGCATATTATAATATTTGAATAATCTCGATCTCTCTAAAACCTCTCTTTGCTTAAGGAAAATTCAAGCTTTAAGACTAGCTTCTTAAATGGATGTCATTTCTGAAAGTAAGAATAAAGAAAGGCACCATTAGGAAAATGACCCTCATTACTATAAATTGTGTTTTTGGTGGCAGAGTCATTTACTATTAGTGACTGACATTAAGTATATGTGTGGTTAATTGATATTGTGTTTTAATTTTTAATAGTGTTTTAGAAATTGTAAAATATTATAGGAAATTTGAAAATAAAAAAGAAGCAAATGAGAATTGCCCATATATCATAACCTAGCCATAACCACTAATAAAATGTTGATGGACATATTTCCTTTCTACCCTTTTATAACACATGTTGAATACTGGCTTCCTATTACATAAATATTCCTTTGGGTAAATAGACCTGTAAGGTCCTTTATATTTAAAAAGTAGACTAAAATCCATGATTCTGTTAAACTCCATCACGGATTTTTTTTTTTAAGATATTATTTGTTTATTCATGAGAGGCAGAGGGAGAAGCAGAAGGAGAAGCCGTCTCCATGCTGGGAGCCTGATGCGGGACTCGATCCCGGGGTCTCCAGGATCATGCCTGGGCCGAAGGCAGGCGCTAAACCACTGAGCCACCCAGGGATCCCTCATCATGGATTTTTAACTAGAATATTTATATTAAAATGATGTTTTTATACCATAGACCTATTCTTGATATATATTAAAATATATTCAAACTAGCATTCCTATGAAGCCAGCATTAAACAGAATTTTTGAGGAGAGCTGCTTCTCTCTCAATCAGTACCTGTTTCACAGTGTCTATTATATTAACATAGGGTTAAATCCATTGTATTATTTACTAATTTCACATATGTCACAGAAAGACTGGGCTAATTCATTTTATTTTGACTACATTATGCAGATGATAATAATCTGTATTAGTAATCAGTAATGTTAGTAATCGGTAATGTTAGTAATCCTAGCTGTACATTGACTATAGCAGGCACTGTTCTAGAGCTTTCCAAGGTGTTAATTTAATTCCTATTGACCGCCTATGTAATCGGTGTCATTGTCCTTCATTTTATGGAGAGTGGTAAAGTAATGTCCCCAAGGTCACGCTGCATTTTGTGGAAGAGCTAGGATAGGAAGTTGCATTGTCTGCTCCTTTTACCTCTGCTCCTTGCTATCCCTCACAAAGGAGCTCAGATGCTCCGCGGTAAAGGAAATATAGTTTAAAATTTCATTTTTATTTTATTTTTATCAGAGTGGCTCTCTTTCATAGGATTATTTTCACCTTTGTTCCTCAAATAGCCTGGTGGTTGGGAAAATGAATAGGATATGGGGTAGCATAGGAGTGTTTAGGAAGAGTAAAAGGCAATTATTAATGAAAAAAGAACTATTAGCTATTATGTTTAGAAATATATTTTGAAAAATAGCATATTTCTGGAAAAAGTGTACAAACAGAGCTTTCTTGAAATAATAGTTTCCTTAATTTGGGTTTTGGGTTGTTGTTGTTTCAGTTCAGGGATTTAAAAAAGATACTTACCAACTTGGTTGGGTATACCTCAGAAGTTTTGGTGTGGGATCCCACCATGATTAGACTTAATATGGGTGGGATCCATATTGTTATTATTATTGGTACAAGGTAATGGAGAGTCATAAAAGGAGGGGCAAAAGTCAGTCCAGAGCGGTGGGGTGGGAATGGGCATATCAGATGTTTTGCATCTCATTAGTTCATGTTTGAAATTAATATATTTTTATCTGTTACTATGTTTTGTCCTAGTTGCTGTGTCCTTAAGGAACCAGAAGGTCATTTTACCCCAGACACAAGATAGTTACCAGATATCTATTGCCAAAAGTGTCTCTATTCCAGAGCTCAGCGCTTTCACTCTCTGTTTTGAAGCAACCAAAATTGGCAAGGAAGACCATGAATGGATAGCTTTCTCCTACTCCAATGCCTCCTTCACACAGTTACTTAGTTTTGGAAAGACCAGGAATGGCTACTTTATTTCTATTTCTGGTTCAAAATGCTTCCTGAACAGTGTGTTACCTGTGAAGGATAAAGAAGACATTTTCACAGAAAGCTTTGAGCAGCTCTGCATTATTTGGAATAATTCTCTGGGTTATGTTGGTGTAAATTTCAAAAGAAACTATGAAGCAGTTCCATGCGAGTCTACCATCAGTAAAGTTATTCCTAGAAATGGAAAATTGTTGTTAGGCTCCAGTCACAATGAAATTGCCTCCCTAAAAGGGGACATTTATAACTTTCGACTTTGGAATTTTACCATGAATTCCAAAATCCTCTCCAACCTCAGCTGTAATGTGAAAGGGAATGTGGTTGACTGGCAGAATGACTTCTGGAATATCCCCACGCTAGCTCTGAAAGCAGAAAGCAACCTAAGCTGTGGTAAGTCTGGCCATATTACCTGCCCCCCTTTTTAAAGAGCATTATTCTATGAATGTTGGTCAACAAGAAATCAAACACACATACATGTATATATAGTTGTTAGTGAGCTTTTTAATTTTTAAAATGTTATATGTTCAGCCATACAGAGTATATACATTTGATTACAAGCCTTGTTTATTCAATTAAAGCTTTTGGTTCTACCATTTTAAAGTTTTCCTGATGTCATAAAATGTCACCCAGTTTATCACTGACATATCAAGTTGTAACTGTCATGCCTCAAATAGAAATGTTACTACCAGAGTAACAAAAGAAATTAACAAGTTACTGTTTTTAATCACAAAGATGATACAATAAAAAGTTGATCTTTATGAAATTTCCATTATGTTATTTAAATAAACACCACTTAAAGAATGGTATTTACTCAGCCAAGATAAAATATCAAAGCTTTTTCCATTTTATGGAAAAAGCTTTGATAATCAGGAATTATCCATTTTTTTTTTTGAACTTCTTTCTCTGAAAATGATCAGTTGTCATAGGAGAGGGGGAAGCAGGCTCCCCACTGAGCAGGGAGCCTGATGTCGGGCTTAATCCCAGGATTCTGAGATCATGACCTGAACCGAAGGCAGAGGCTTAACTGACTAATCCACCCAGGTGCCCCTTTGAGAGACTTTAAATTGACATTACTGGAAGTAGCTAAATGCCAAATACATAGGAAAATAATTTTATATAACTACATTATATTAAAATAGACTTCTATCAAGCATTCTCTATGTATATAAGTTAATTGTGGAAGTCTTTATTATAGGACTGATGAAAATCCTAAAGGAGAAGTTTCATTGTCACTTTTGAATGTCATGACTAAATCTAAAGTGCTGATAATATATACTTTTCAGTCACGGACATAACTTTCATTAAAAGAGGAAAGAAGGGGTCTGATGCTAAAAAGTAATTCTTATGTGACTGTGGGGGATATTTTATCAGAAATTCATTCCCAATCCTTTGAGCAGAGTAGGATCCCTTTGAAGACATGAGACCACCTCTCCTGTTTCTCTGACCTGTGTGTGTCCTACTGCTCTGGGGAACTCTTGTCACATAACTGTCATTGTAATTCACCCATCCCTCCTTGTGGTTCATGGTGCTCCTGTAAATGGTGGGAGGCTATTAAGTGATGCCATTTGAGAGGTATTTCCTTGTGGGTTGTTGGACAGAGGGTAAACCACAGCCATGTTCCAGAAGAAGACTGGAGGACTTTGTAAGAGCCAGTGGTGTTCCCGGCATCCTCTCTGTTTGACTAGCTACAGAGGGTGGTCGGGGACCCCTGAGAAGTCTTTCACTCAGTGAGAAAATTGAGAAGATATCAGGTGTGCGTGTTTGGTGTGGGATGGTGAGCAGTGAGGGGGCAGAGATATTTTTCCTATGTCCAGGGTGATTATCTTTATCCCAGCAGCCTGTTTTCACCATATCCTTGGCTATTATTAAAAAGTCATAATATAGATCACTTAATAGTTGCCTTTCTGTGGGGCAATATTTGAGGACTATGCCAACCAAAAAAAATTGGCTAGATGTATTAATAATTGCTAACACTTAAATTATATACTTAACTTGAATATTTGATATGTATTTTCTAGGTACTGTTTTAAGCCTTTACACATATTAACTCTTTTCTACAAACATAAATCTTGTGATGAGGGTTTTATTATAAACCCCATTTTGCAGATGAGAAATCCAAGGCACAAAGAAATTAAGTAACTTCCCCTGCGTCACTTAGTAAGTGGCCAAGCCAGGAAGTGAACCCAGGAAGTTTAATTTTAGAGCTGTGTCTCTTACAAGTATAAATTAGACTGTCTTTTAGAATATGCAGGACTAAAAGATGATATGTACTAGAGTAGCTAATTCTTGCCTAGATGAGGAGTATGAAGGCCCAGGAGTGATCTGTGGGAAAACACTAGCTTTCTAGAGCATAAACATTATATTTGTTTTAAACAAAATTAGTAAGATTTCTTTCCTGCATTGCTTCTTGGATACATTAATATAAAATGTGAGGGATATACATGGATTCCTGAACTTCTCTAAGAAATCCTCTAGACCCAGGTGGTTGGCAAACTAGGAAGTCCTACTGCAGGCCACCTATTTTTGTGAATAAAGTTCTATTGCAACACAGCCATATTTAGGAGGTTTTGTATTGTCTATAGCTGCCTCTGTGCTACAGGGGCAGGGTTGGTGATTGTGGGAGACTCTAAGTTGGCCCACCATCCTAAAATTTTTACCATCTGGCCCTTTAAGAGAAAATGTGCCAATTCCCTGAGATGAGTCCAAAAAATCATGAGGTCCAACATTCTGAAGCACACACTTTGGACAACACTGGAAAAGACCTACTAGAGCTCCTGGGCCAGAGGGAGTGAACCAGCCACTTGTGAACTCATTCAGCCCTCAGACATTGATGATGGTGGCAGCATTTCTCTGTTCTCATTTATTTATATTTGTTCCACACAATGCTTTTAAATGATTTATTTGAAACATTAAAAAAAATAGATTTCAAGTAAAAATAAATGTTTGGATTTTCTGGCAAACAATAAACTAAGCCTGGGCCAGTGCTGTCAGGCCAGCACAGCTGGAGCTAGGTGGTGTCTGCTCTTTGGGATGAGGGTGCTCCTCAGCCCTTACCATTCTTTGTATTCTTCCTCCACCAGCCCCCCCTCTCATCTTTAGATTGCCTTCTGGCCCCATGAGGCTTTTTTTTTTTTTTAAATTTTATTTATTTGACAGCACAAGCAGGGGGAGCAGGAGAGGGAGAAGAAAGTTCCTTATAGAGTAGGACTTGATGTGGGGCTTGATCCCAGGACCCTGAGATCATGGGGTTTCATGACCCAAGCTGAAGGCAGATGCTTCACCAACTGAACCATCCATGCACCCCCCGATTTCCCCCCAATAGGCATTTCTGCTTGGGAATCCCAACTTAGGCCAGTCCCTTCACTTAATATAGGGCAAAAAAAAAATGAAAATTAAAAAAAAAAGTGGCTAAGGCAGTGGGTGCACAGACACGCCCATCTCCTCTCCCCCTTCCCCAGGCTTTATTATCTGGATATCCTCACATTTTTTTTAACACTGTCTTTAACACTCCTTCCCCAAGGTTTAAGATTATTGAGATGCATTGAACATATGCTTGTCTGATTCAGTCATCTGTAAGGTTTCAAAATGATTTCATTAAAAGAGTAGCACAAGTCACAGAGTCCGTGTATTTGAATTCCTTTAATTTTTATAGAGGTCTTCTTGACATTCCACAATGACGCTAAACACCCCATTCCGTGGATTCAGATATCCTGGGCTGTGTTTCAGGAGTCATCACGGGAGAGGGTGTTCTCTGCTGCTCAGTCATCAGCTTTGGGAGTTGAATAACCCTAGTCACTTATTAACTGGCAGGAAATACCTGTAAGAGAGATGCTATCTAAACTTGTTAGCTAAGCAGAACTTCAACAAATGAAAAAGGTTTGCTTGATTAACATTTTAACCTTTCCTTTTTTCTGGAACATTTTGGCTTGCTGTTTATGGTAACAGTAATTTCCAAAAACTAATGATTGGTACAGTAACCAATGGGAAAATAGAATTTCATGCCTAACATTCCTTTGGACTGACAGTGTCTGTTAAATATGACCTTTACTTCCAGATTTAACTTGTGGAAGAATGAACAGATTTTCCAAAGGTCTATTGCTTGAGTAAATTATAATATGAAAATAAGATGGTAAAACAGAACTGATTACATCTAACATTAAAACATCCTGTCATTTGTTTCAAATAGTAAATATCTTCCGCCTTAATAAAATCAACATATTATTATTTTTTTAAATTTTATTTATTTATTCATGAGAGACACAGAGAGAGAGGCAGAGACACAGGCAGAGGGAGAAGCAGGCTCCATGCAGGGAGCCCGATGTGAGACTTGATCCTGGGACTCCAGGATCACGCCCTGGACTCAAGGCAGGTGCTAAACCACTGAGCCACCCAGGGATCCCAAAATCAACATATTATTAATTAATGTTTCAAAAATTTCAGAATTAGGCTGTTTTGTTATCCTACACTATTCTAAGCCTAGGTCGGGAGTATACCTTAATTAAGAAATTTTCAGCAGGGTTTTTTTTTTTTTTTTAACAGATCATCAAAAAAATCAAAATAAACACAGATCATCTTGTTAGTCTTTTTCAGAAAGAAATGCTTTATTTAGCAGTAGCTCTTTTTCATTTTATAGCATCATTCTTTTCCATAGAATTTTCATTTTTCAATTTTATTTTATTAAATATATTTTATTTACATAATTTTGTTAAACATATTCAGTTTTATGACCTCCATGGATAGACGATTTTCTTAATAGACTATTTATAACTGCAAGTATTTGCCTGTGTTATGATTCAAGTTTAGATACTGGCTAATGTCCATCAATTTTCACAAAGAACAAACAGTGCCTTCTATATCAGTTTTACTTATTTTCCTTATGACTGCTCTTTCCTGAGGAGTGGTACAGTATAACCCAGTGAATGGTCTAAGTTCAAACAAACTACATATATTTTACAAGCATTTATTAAACACTTCCATTTATTAACCATTTGTGGATATAGAGATAAGATACAATTCATAAATATACAACTTTATGTTATTCTTTTCTAGAAATTTTTGGATTTGTCCTGACTTTTGTTTTCATTTCCAAAGTTTTGTGCTTAATTACCAAGGCTTCATCAACAGATTCCTGCACTTTCTTTTTCAATTGTTACACTTCTGTCCTTCACAGCCATAAAATTGTGACTCATTGTTGACGCCTTCCTTTCATCCCTAAAAAATATTGAGTGTAGTATTTTTGGATAAACTGAATTATTTTTTAAATAATAAAGATAAAATTATCTTTACAAAGGACTTTATCCTTTGAAGGTGATCCAAACTCTTTATGAGCATAAATGGCTTCCAGAAATAATAATATTTTAAATATATTTATGAAAAATTATAAAGTTCAATTTAGTAATAACTGCAAAGAGGGGAAAGTAATATTTTTTTCCTCATTATTGTAGAATGTAAGATGTGTTATTGGCCACACATCAGTCTTTTTTTTAACACAACCTGTGTAAATAGTGACTCAGTGGCAAGATTTTGGAAGAACAACAGATAGAGAAGAAAGATTAACAGCTTGCAGCTTTTCATCACCTGTTTATTTTCGGTGATTACATTTTTGAAAAAAAGATTTTACTTATTTGTTCATGAAAGACACAGAGAGAGAGGCAGAGACATAAGCAGAGAGAGAAGCAGGCTTCCTGCTGAGAGCCTAATGAGGAACTTGATCCCAGTATCATGACCTCAGCCAAAGGCAGATGCTCAACCGCTGAGCCACCCAGGCATCCCTGGTGCTTAGATTTTCAAGGAAATTTGCCTCTAAATTTTGCAGTTAAATATTAAGCAAATACCTTTAAAAACCTCTGTGGTATCCACAAACATCAGTGAACACACTTAGGTCACATTCTGAAGGTAATTCCTTGATAATAATTATATCATTATCCAGGAAAGAAAATTGTCTCTTCTTCCTTAACAGTCTGGTTCATAAACATGTCTACCTAGGAAAACTGATTGTGTGAATGACTTTTTTACTGCAGATATGCTGAAAATATGAAATGGGTGGAAATAAAAAGTTAGTATATATACTTTTTATATTTTATGGTTTTTGTCGATGGAATTTGGTGTATTTATAAAGCTTTCATTTATCAATATAATTTCCTTCCAATTAAATTTTTCACTTGTGGGGCACCTAGGTGGCTCTGTTGGTTAAATATCTGGCTTGATTTCTGCTCAGATCCTGATCTCAGGGTCGTGGGATCGAGCTTTATGTTAGACTCCACACTCAGTGCAGAGTCTGCATGTTTCTCTCCCTCTGCTTCTCTCCTCACCCCTAAAAGGTAAGTAAGTAAATAAATAAATAAATAAAATCTTAAAAAAATGAAATAATAAATGTCACTTGTACTTATACCATGTAGTGTTCAGATTTAATTTCTATTGCTATATTGAATCATAAAACAGTGTTTATTTAATATTTATAACTATTAATTTGCTAAACTGTAAATACCAAAAAAGAGGCAACCGATGGTTTAAATATTGAGGAATGTTATAATTTCCTGTGACAAGGATGTCACAAAATGGAATTTATACTTGTTACCATACAGTGAAACTGAGGAAATGTTAAGAAAATTGTTAAATATTTTGCTCTAAATCATAACTCTTCTGATTCTTTCCTCATTTCCACCTCGGAGCTCCTTAATCTACTGCAGTGGAAGTGTAGTTAGTCTAGAAATTTCTTTCCCACACCATCTCCTTATCTCTTTTTGTCTTCTAGAGATATTGTATCAGTGTCAGAAGTGGCCTAAGGAGCCTTTGACTGCCAACACTGTGTGTAATTTGAGAAGCACAGGAACTCCATCCAAGGGTCTCTCTCTCTCTCTCTTTCCCTAATGTTGCAGTCGCTGACAGTTCCTCATGTTGAGTTTTAAAGCCTTTTTTTTTAGTTTTCAGAAATTCCTCACTAAAATATAAGTACCTACCAAAGAAGTAAGGTTCTGCAAGAAGTGGGTATAAGTGATGGGAAAGAATGATGGGCAGAAAACATTGATGGTAAAATTATACCTCAGTCCTGACAAGGCAGGCCTCAACTTCTACCTCCTCAACTGCCCTTTTTCCATAGTACACTTGTCTGAGTTTTCAATCTTCCAAAGTCATTCTCCCTGTCTCTGTTTTCTTTCATAGCCAGGCTTCCTCTTTTTGTATTCACTTCTCAAATGATGGTCATGAGTTCGTCATTCCCACACTCCTGAAGCTAATTCCTGTACAGTTACTACCCAAATTCCAATGCAAGTTAAAAGTCTTCTTGGTTTTGATCATTCTTTACCTTTCTGGTGTACATGATATGGCCACACCTTCCGTGAAACTTCCTTCACTTGAATTCTATAAAACCACCTTCTCTAAGAACTATTTTTACTTCTGAGAACTCTTAAAAAAAACAAGATACTTAAATATAGGCATATCTATGGTTCCATCTAATCTCTGCCCTAGCTTGAGTGATCCCAGACACATCTATAGATCCTGTGGCATTATTTCTTGGCTAGACCTCTCACAGAAACCTGTATGCCTGCCCATGGATCCAGATGTCACTCAGTTCCCATTATTGGACTCATTCATCCCACCCTACCTAAGTTTGCTTTCCTTTAGTATTTCTTCTTTCCTTTTATGAGATCATTATGTACCAGTTTCTCAAGTTAGAAACCAGAAAAATATCCCCTAGTCTTCTCTTTCTTTCTAAGTGATTTAAATTTGAAACCATCTGGGGGATCCCTGGGTGGCGCAGCGGTTTAGTGCCTGCCTTTGGCCCGGGGCACGATCCTGGAGACCCGGGATTGAATCCCACGTCGGGCTCCCGGTGCATGGAGCCTGTTTCTCCCTCTGCCTATGTCTCTGCCTCTCTCTCTCTCTCTCTCTCTCTGACTATCATAAATAAATAAAAAATAAAAAAAATGCTTTAAAATTTGAAACCATCTTTGAGGCTCCATAGCCAACTAAGAGGGAATATACAATAAGAATAAAAACTATTATTAATTTAGACTTGGTATCATGAGTACAATGAGGATGGCAAGAAAAAGATGGATACAAGACATCCAATTTTCTCACTTAGTTTCCTTTCATATTTTCCTTTTCCTCTAAGAAAGAGGAAGTCGTTCATGATGCATCCAGAGATTTATTCGGTAAAGCTTGAGTAACCACCTGCTATGTGTGTGGGATATGTTATTGGAAGACAGAGTCCCATTATTCATGATGCCAACATTCTATTAGGCCCTCCACTGGTATCCATTACCTATATATCTGATCATTTCTGTGCTGTACTCCAGTGATGCCATGTCACCCAGGTTCCCAGAACTTTTCACTGCCATCTTGGTATTTCAGTAATTCTCTCTGCTAGTAATTTCCATTTCTAATTTCTTGTCCCTACATTAGTATAGTGACTCCTGATATTATTCACAGGCGTCCTTTTTTGTAATGGATTCTCTTTTCCTCCTTCTCATCAAGCTGTTGGTCATGCCCTCCTTTGAGCCACTGAGTACTTCCACTTAACGCATTCAGAGAACTGCGACTCTGTTTCCCATTTGTGCCTCTCTGAGAGCACTGACACTGTCTTAGAGTATTATTCTAGCCTATGTGCCTCACACACTAAACAGTGATTACATTTTTGTTGAATGAATATGTAAATGACTATGTTGAGAGCGTCTTGCCAGTTCACATCACAGACCTGCCTGTAGAGTTGGGCTTTTCTGAAGATTCCTTCCTTGGGCTAGGTGCCTGAGGTAGTTGAGAATGAAGAAATCATGATTCATGAGCTTCTGTTAAATTGTTGGGATGCTTTCCGCTTATGCACATCAATTACCTAATACGACATCTTTTGTTGGATCACGTACCTGCTCTGCCTTCATGTACTGTTCCCACAGAACAGTTTGGAAAATGTTTAACCATTAGAATAGAATCACTATTATGGAAATGTCTTTTTAAAATTAAATCTATGTATTTGTGTATGTGCATGTATACAAATATTTGTATTTATTCTCTTGTCTTTATGCATAATGTGGGTGCTTTGTGATAAGTTGAACCCATCTTCCTCAGTCTCAACCTGTTGGTAAAAGTCTGTTAACTGTCAGAGATTTACTGGAACAGAGAAAATCCATTACTCCTACTAGAAAACCAGCTCTAAACTTGTTTCTTGCTGAGGATGAGTCAGTAAAAAAAAAAAAAAAAAAAAAAAAGACACAAAGACCAACCTGAAGTCACAGAAACATATTATATTTCCGGAATTGTAAATGGCATATGCTGGTGCTTGTGAACCCAAAATATGCATTTTATGAATATTAGTAATATCCAAGTTCACTTTTGAAACTTACCTTTGATGTTTATATCACTTTATTTATATGAATTTCTACCAGAGCTTCATAATTTATCCTATGAAAAGGCCCTGGACTTTTTACACAAACTCTAACGAGCAGTAGCCTTTCTTTTCCTTTCATGTGTGGATAGCCAATAAAGTGATTGAAGATTTTGAGGGAAATTTCAATAACCTGATTTTTCATTTGTGGAAATTAAGATACAAAGACCTTAAGAGACTTTCTTGATGTTGGAGTATTATTGATGGACTCATCTAGGGGCACTCCTGTTATACCAACCATAAGATTCATAGGGGTTGGGGGCAATGTCACTAAATCATAAGTCAAACTTGTATAATCCCTCTATTTGATCAAGGTTCCTACCTGATCCCACTCCCGGCAGCAGAACTAGCCAACTGTGCAGATTTGGGGACACTCTGCCAAGGTAGGGAGCCAACATCGTCCTCTGGGGTCCATTTCCTACTTGCTATTTTGGATAATGTGGTTGTAATTATTTTTATTATTATCTTAATTTTCTCTTGAGAAGCCAGAAACCAGCAAAACAGAAGAATTTCTGGATGTTTTTTAGTTGTGTGGGTGTACAGTACATACACTGTGGAGAAAGAATGCATTCACACACTGGATGACCATATTTCCATAAAGCACTGGGCTCTTAAATGTGAATGATTATATGCTATTAAACAAGGATTTATTTCATTTTTTTCCTCTTTTTATTCTCAAGATTATTGCAAAGGTCCAGTATAAATATAGTCATGCAATATTTTGAAAAAGCATTCATGTGTGAAAAACAAGGGGAAAATTAAGTTATTCAATTAAGCTGCATAAGGCAATTTATGGTACATAATGTAACTTAAGTATTAAGATAAAAATAGTTATATTTAAACTAATATTAGTGTAATTTTATTACTGTAATACACAATAACTATATTATGGCCAGTATTCCAATTATATATAATGTACTAAATAGTTGCATGCTAATAATATATAAAGTCATATAAGTTTTAAAATAATAACAAATATTTTGCTTTAATTTTATCATTGCTCCTCCTAATTACTTATGACCCATTTTCATCCATTTATTCTATTAAATATTTCTTTATGAAGTAACATGTTCTGTGTACCACATTAAGAATCATGACAATGCCTTTTGAAAAAGCTGAATCTCTTATTAAAAGGATCATATCCTGAGAGTGATGGGTTAAAAGTGCTTCTAAATAGATAGAAATCTAAGCTCTTTTCTGTGATTCCAGTATGGGAGTAGTCAGGGAGAAGAGATGTAGTTCGGCATTATGTTTGCTTCTTTTTTGAGATACTATTTCTTGTTGTTATTACTGATGAATGATCTATGAAAATAAAGTCATTACATAATTTCCACAAACTCACTATAGTTCTAAAATAGATAAATAAAATAGAAAGAAACCTTAATTTTGCCTAGCTCAAGATCTGAAGGGTTTTTTAAATTGTTTTTTTTTTTCTTTTAAGCTGAGGTACCTATAGTACTGATTCCTTGGGTCAAAGATCAGAGGCCCAGCATTCCCCCCCGCCTCCATGTCCTAAATGATCAAAAACATGTTTAAATTCATTGATGTATTTTTGCACTAAGATAAATATAATTGATCAGAATTTAAAAAAATAAAGACTTCAAAAAGGATCCCCATTTTTAAGAATTTTATATTACTTTAGAATTGAAAATTATTTTAGTTAAGGATGCATATTTTAATCAAAGAATTTTACTTCCAGAAGGTAATCATAATCATAATCGCTTAATCACTTAATACATAGTCGTGTAAATGTTTTAAATTTAGGTAAGTTGAAATATATAACAGATGATCATTGTACATATGAACAGTCATCTAATACAAACATACTCCTAAGAAAAACTAAAGGGAAATTGTGTGTATAGTTATTTTACTACCTATATAGTTCTTCCAGAATCCCTTAGAAAGATATTAAAGCATTACATAAAGGTTTAATCTTTGAAAGTTTTAATAGTATTAGAATCATATCTATAATGCCTTGAAAATGTCTCCCCTCTAAGGTTTGTCCTTATGAAATCCGTTTTATCCATCAACATTTAGTAGAGTTATTGGGATCTGTAGATGATTCTATACATTTATATTCTATATAAACATTTCATTCTCTTTTGTTTTTCTGTCATTTATCTTCTCAAGGAGAAATACATTTTCCTTTGAGACTTTACTTCTTTAGTCTCAGTAGAAGACTTCGTTTAGATAATTTTCAAACTGATAGGTGCAATACAGACTACCTTATGGAACCTTTCCTTTTTATAGACTTAGGAAATTGAGTTCTAGAAAGATTTAGTAATTTACTCTGTGGTCATCAGCCTGTTAAATGGCAGACATGGGTGTAGAATCTGAACATTCTTCCTTCTATTCTTTGGCATCAGCTCCAAACTCTTGTGCAAAGAGTATGCAAGACACTCTTGTCTAAACTCTTGTGCAAGAGTGTGCAAGACACTCTTTGGTGTCTTGTGTGACACCAAAGGCTGTATGAAGTGATTCTTAATGTGCCACATAGAAAACATTGCTTCATGTTATGCATTGTAACCCTAGAGTCTGTTTTGTATTTAGTAGCAAGAAATGGTTTCTATTCCTCCTCTATATATTTTCATTCATTAATTATAGATTGCTCATCCATATTAACTGTCATGTGGCCCTTGCAAAATTACATCTTTCTCATCTTTATTACCAGCTACTGTAGACTCTCCTAGTACTACACCACCCACTGTCACCACTAACATGCCTGTTACTAATAGAATCGATAAACAAAGGAATGGTAAGAAATCATTACCTTTTATATTTGTAGTATGTCTGATGTGATAAAATATTGTATTTTAAGAATGGGAATATCAAATGTTCAAACAAAATTTCTGTTATTGAAATAGGTACATTTGTATATTTGTAAGATTAGTAAAATAAATAAATATCACCTGACTCCCTTGAGTTCCTTTATCCTAATGACCAGTGGAATGAGTACATTTCCAGTACTACTCTTACACACTTTTACCTAAAATTGCTTTCAAAGGAAGCATTTAATTAAAAGGAATTAATTTGCTAGTGTCTAGTATCTGAAAAAAATATTCTTGTATTTTGTCAGATTTTCTCTGCAGGAAACTAGTTTTTTAAAGAATTTCATAATTTCAGGAAACAAAATTATGCTAGTATGCTAGTAATGTAATTTTTCCCTGAAGCCAACTTTATGCTTAAACGTTTTTGACATTTAGATCAATTTACATGGTAATACTTTGCTCTCTGTTTTTATTTGTTGAGAAATAATGGTTAGAATGTGTTTGCATATCAACTAAGTCAATTTTTGGCTGACAGAATTTCAATTTAAGTGCTAATACTTCCTGCCTTTTTTTCCATATATATATATATTTATATTTATATTATTTGTAATTTGCAAATACAGCAGTTATATGATATGAGAAATGAGCAGAGAAAATGCGAGGTAATGTGAGTTATTTAGTCTGCTACCTATATGGACTACATAGCCTTTTGGCAATTCAGAGTAAATGATTTAAGTCTCTCCTAGAAAAGAGAAATTCCAATCAGGTGACTGCACCATTGCCTAACAGACAGTAATATTCTCAAATATGAGCTATTTGAAACAAATGAATTTTCTCAATATTATTTAACTTGTGAGGCCAAAACATCTGTAATATATCACCAGGGGCCAAAACCCAGAGAAAAGAAACCCACATAGTTCATTTTTCCTTTGGCTCTGGGGGTTACACCAACTTCCTCTGTAAGGACATTTAAATTGGAAGTATGGAATATTTTACATGAAACATAGATATAAATTTCACTAGGATTATAAAGACATCGATTCAGGGAAGTGTTTATGGTTATTCTGGTAGTTACACCAAGGAGATTTATGATGGGGCAAACATTCCAGCAACCCCCAGGAAAGCAGCGACAGCTGAAGTTCCCAGCGCGTATTTCACATGGACTCCAGCCAGTAGATGGGAATATTATAATTCTAACTAAGTATTTCGCTCTTTGTATGGTCATACAAAGAGCCTCTGTGGCATTTTCCCTCCAGGACTGGCACATCCTCTACTGCCCAAGAACGTTTATGTGATGCTTCAGAGTCCTTGACTTGGTGGAGTGGAGCTGTATTCACTCAATCATGTCATTTCTGACATTCTTGAAGAAAGCCTTGTTCAGCCATCTCTGTCTGCGTCATAACCTTCATTGGAGTTTCAACAAAGCCAGCAAATGTTAGAATCAGTTAAAATGGTTTGACTTGACTACATGAAAGGAAAAAAATCTAATTTAGATGATTCTCGATAAAAATATAATCCTAGCATTAAAAATATTCAAAAGTCATCGTGTGGTGGAAATAGTCTCAAAATTGTGTATTCAAATCTGTGTACTGTCATAACAATTTTTACCATATCCTTGAACCACCTCTGCTATTGATTTAATAGTTTTTTTAATTGGCGCATATTTTTACTTAAATATTTGCATTTATATGGGAAAATTGATATCGCTATTGTAAAACCAGTACTGTTTGTTGTAAAACAGAAAAGTGAGAATACATATTATGAAAACAATGTTATTGAATTCTCCCTATATCCTATTGCTTTCTCATATATCTATGCCTGAAGTCTTCATTATCTTTTTAAAAAGGGAGAGTAACAAAGTGTAAGACTGTAATCTAATTAAATTTTTTTCTTTGATGTAGTCAAATTAGAAATAATTGGAAAGAGAATTACTCATTCACCTTGTGAATAAATGGGATTTAATGCTGTGTCCTGTACTCTCCAAATCATTTACATACTGTCAGCAATTCCAGATTTCCTTTTTTAAAAAAAACATTATTTATTCATGCACGGAGCCCCATGTGGGACTTGATCCTGGGATTCCAAGATCACACCCTGGGCCTAAGGCAGGCGCTAAACAGCTGAGCCACCCAGGGATCCCCCAAATATACTTTTCTTATTCTTCAGGAAACTGACACAGTAAACATTCTCAGGCTTATGATCTGTTGGAGAATCCTGTTTTTTATTCATTGTAAGAAAGATAGGCACAACTATCAAATTTGTCATCTAATTTATCCAGTCCTTTAAATTCTGGATTATCAAAGAGTTTTGCTGGGTCTGTCAGTGACGATATGCTGGTGTGGGGAGGGGCAGGGGTTGAGATTGTTTGATAATCAGACATTTCTTCCATGTATCAGGGAAATTTGTCTTCCTAGACTTTGTGAAGTGTTCCTGTTTCTCTATGAAAACTTCTTTTTGTTATCTTCAATAGGACCTATATTTGATACTTCAGATTGTACACTAGGAAAATCTTTAGGTTACTTTTCATAAAGAGATATTTCAGTATGTAATGGATAATCTAGGTATTCTCACCAATAACATTTGCGCCTTTTACATTACATTCTTAAAGAAAGCTCTTGGGCCAGTTATTTGCATAGCAAATGGTATCTTCTCTGCCTGAAGCATCGTTTCAGTGCCACTGAATATTAAATTTTGTGGGGTCATCACAAATAACCCAAGTAAGGAACTAACCCCCTTAGTCCTTATTTTTCTAAAAACCTAGCTTATAGGTATTAATTGCATCACTGTTTCTAATTTCTTAACATTTAACTACTCAAAGAAAAAGGTACTCTCTGGATATGTGTATCAATTGGACAATCAATCCAGCTTTATATGCCAGTTATCTAAGGAAATCATGTGTTTAGGAGAGCAGGACTCCACTTATAAATACTACTGTCATGTGGTAATTGCCTCATCAGTAGTTCAAAGAAATAATTTTGACTCCAAAATAATATGTGATTTATTTTCAACATCTGTCTTTTCAAATTAATATTTTAAAATCTACTTTTTGAAACCTGTATTTCCCCCTTGAGTATAGAATAAATAAGGAGTGTCATTTCTATATCTCCTAAGAAACCCTGAAAAGAATGTTAAGACAGTACAAAAAAATGATTAGTTGGAGAAAGACCCATAGACAGGAATACTGTTTTGACCCGGCATCTGTAATGGCAAGCAATGATTTGTACTTTGAGGTTCTGCATGGCTGCAAGAGTTATCTAATTGGAAAATGGATATACTCTTAAATACTTCTTTTTCCCCTCCCAAGAAATGTCTGTCACGAATTCTGCTGGCTTAGATATCATTATTAGGACAATAAAATAGCTTTTGAAGTCTCTGGAATATATGAAAATTTGTTATTAGCTTTTCTAAAATTGAGACACTGTGGGAGTTCTTACATCTGTAGAAGACCCCTTGGTAGGGCGGGGGGAGGGGAGCCTGAATCAATACGTTTTAATTATGTATCTTCTACAACAGTGATGCTTAAACCAATTATTTTCTTGCAATCCAAAACCCTTCCTACCAATTCTTTGGTTGACATTTTATCTCGCTTTGACAGTTCACCCCTGGACATTTCTTTCTTTCTTTCTTTCTTTCTTTTTTTTTTTTACCCCTGGACATTTCTTATGTTTAGTTATTGTCTACATTATTCATAAATTTTAAATAAGTATAACAAGTAGACTCTGCCGAGTATATAAATATCTCATTCCAAGGTTTTTGAAGAGAGACTAATTGAGCATGATATATAGCATGAGAGAATCTATAGCATGAGAAAACATATTTTATTTGCCATAAGCAATTTAACTTGAGGGAAAGTGCTATATTTATAAATTGATTTAGGCTGTCTCTGATATTGTATGTCTTTCTCACATATAAATAAGAGCAGATTGAAAAAATGGAGGCAGGAAATATTTAAAATTTAAAGAAGAATATCTTAAATATTTCCAGATCATTTCAGAAATGTCAGTGATTAAAAATAATGATTTTTAGTATTTTGCAATATTTTCCTGAGAAGGAAAGATTACTAATCTTAAACACATGCTTTAGGTCTCCATCTAGTGGTGGCTCTTCAGCTACTCTGCTGATACCAGTGAACATTTACAGAATATCCTTAGGGTCTTGGAATAATTCTTGGACCTCTGCACTTTGAATTTCTCCTGAGTCATTGGGCATGCCCATGATTTGATATGATGACATATAGAGTCTGAAAAGGGTTTTTAAATCTGAATTATTATCATTTGTTTTGAGTATATTGCTCTAAAAATTTAAATTCAGAATATTTTTAGAGGAACATAAAATCAACATTATTAAAATACCTAAGGAGCTTTAGAAGCTGAAATAACCTAGTCTGGATAAGTTAAACCCACTTGTCCTTGGGATTGTACCAATTTCATATATTATTATATTTGGGAGTGGCAAAATTTTTAGCAGAGATTCTGCTAAATCTCTTTTAGCAGAGAGTTAGCAGAGATTCTGACCCCATACGGGAAAAGCACTCCTTTAAAAGTAGTGGGACTGGAATTTACATTTTGGTAGATACAGGGGTTTCCAGAGGCAGAGTTTTGTATTTTTTCTACTGATTTTCTAACTTTTAAAATTAAATCTACTCCAAAACATTGTTTTGATTATATATTTCTACGTTTTCTGTGCTTCCTTTACTTAAGATTTACCAGATTATAAGCATGAAGAAAGTTGACTGACAACAATGGAGATTCAGGTTTTTTTCCTCTGTATAACCTACTATATTTTAAAATGATATTTTTCTTATTAGCTACTTATAGTAAGGTACCCTATAACACACACTTAGAGATATTTAGCAAACCCTGGCTGGTGACTTCAATTTGCATTTACAAAAAAAAAAAAAAAGCATCAGACTACTTTAAAGATTATCCCAAAAAGAAAGAAGCGGAACCTTCTTCTCACATAAGGTTTTCTTTTAAAAGCAATGTAGTCCAGTTAAAATTCTGTCTGCAAATATTCTCTCTTTTCCCCGTTTACTTTGATACAAGCAACTATATTTATGGAATTTTGATGAAAAATCTGGTAAATGATTTCGTAGAAGTAAATGCTGTATTGAGGAGGGGAAAGAGAAAAGGAAGACTAGGGGGTCGAGAGCACCAAACATGTTACGTTCCTGTTTGTTCTCTTTCAGGTTAGCTTCTCTCCATCATCCCACTCAAGTCTACATACTCCAAACTCTGTCATTCTTTATAATGTACAAAAAATGGTAATTTCTTCTTATAAGATATCAAATTGTACATGAACAAATTCAGACAGTAGATACCCAAAATATACAGAATTGAAGAAATGTGTAGGTGATAATTTAGGAGCAATGAATTGTTTATAAGAATAAACTAATTGATAACTCTTTCTCTTTTTTAATTTATATATTTTAAAATATTTTATTTATTAATTCATAAGAGACACAGAGAGAGAGAGGCAGAGATACAGGCAGAGGGAGAAAGCAGGCTCCTCGCAGGGAGCCCAATGTGGGATTTGATCCCAGGACTCCAGGATCATGCTCTGGGCCAAAGGCAGGTGCTGAGCCACCCAGGCTTCCTGATAACTCTTTCTAAGAAGTTACAAAGGTCAATGAGCAGCATAAAGTCAAAATATCTCAAATTTCCTGTAGAAAATTTCTGTAGAAAAATGTAGGTGTTTTATTTATTTTTTCATTTTTTTTTTTAAATTGAAGTGTAGTTGACACATGTTATGGTGTATAGCCTAATTATTTGACAGGTCTGTATGTTATACTGTGCTCACCACAAGTGTAGCTACCATCTGTCATCATACAAATGCTTATTGCAATACCATTGACTATATTCTCTGTACTGTACCTTTTATTACTGTGACTTATTCATTCCATCACTGGAAACCTGTATCTCCCACAGAAGGCATTTCTTTTAAATTGTGTGATTGTAAAGTTAAATTGATAATTATATGACTGTAAATATAATTAATGGACTAAATCCTATTTCCAATGGACAGATGGAATTGTCTATAGAATTTCCATAGTGATTCAAAATATCCTTCATCACCCTGAGGTCAAAGTACAGAGCAAGGTAGCAGAATGGGTAAGTGAACTTGTACAATTTCTTCTTTGATTTGACATCTTTAAGCTCTGGAAATCTGGAAAGGACTCTATTGTCTGGCTAACTGAATCCACAGATCACACTAAAACATAGACATTGTCCCTTATCTGTACTATGAATAGACCTAGAAGGGAGGTGTATGCTTATTCCTAAAAAGGGAGATGCATTTGAATCAAGGACAAGCCTGATAGACTATTAATGTCGAAAAGTACCACACAAACAGAAATATGTTTTCATAGGTCTCTTTATTTACGATTATATCCCTACATTTTCAGTAGAGTTTTAAAAAATAGATTATATATTTTTATTTAATTGTTTGAGTATTTGGTTCATAAACCAAAAAGCATAATAAAATATATCGTGAAAATATTTTACCCATCTTTGTAGCTCATCTCCTTGGAGACCAACCCATCTGCTTAGAAATCACTGTTAGTTTTTCTTGTTTGTTTTTTCCCCTTGAATTTCTTTGTTCATATAAAGGAAAACAAGACAATAGATTCTTATTTTTCCTCCTTTTTACACTAAAAACATATTTTGCATACCATTCTACATTGTACTTATTTTTGTTATTACCAGATTTGCATCATAAGTATGCAGAGACCTTCCTTTTTGTTTTTCTTTTTCTTTTTTTAACACTGTGATATATTCCATTATGCGGCTATCTAGTCATTAATTTAGCAAGTCTTCTGTTGATGGAGATTTCTGATATACTAATTTATTTAATCAGTATTCTATTAATGAAATTTTTGTAATTTCCAGTTAAAACAAAAAAATTCAGCATTTTATTTTCTTGTCCTTACGGATACCACCTATGTTTTTTTTTCTTGTTTCCATAACAAAAATTTTATTTTCCATAGGTTTCTATTTCTTTCAATTTTATTTTCTGTCTGCAGCATACTGTGGGACTTTGTACTGCTTTTTATATATACACTATATTACAATTCAGACATTGTGAATAAAGTCACTCAAGTATACATTTTGAGAAAGATGGGTTTCTTGTGCAGCAGGTGTCTAGTAAAACATGTCCTTGGTAGCAAAACAAAGTTAAATCCTACATTGAGAGGTAATGGTGACTATCTATCTACCTACCTACCTACCCATCTTTGAAGAATAACTTGATATGACAATACAGTCTTATTTTGAAGGGTCTATAGTAAGAAAAGTCTTACTTTGAATACATGTTAAAAATAAATTGACCACAGGAAATTAAGAGTATGTAAATAACAATTCTATTATAAAATTGAGTGGAGGAGTGATCTTCTCTAATAAAAGTCAATGAAAAATGCTGCTGTTGACTTTTTGGACTGATGCATTAGAGTCAGTAAGTAATTCAAACACTGGGAGGTATGTTTCATTTCCAAATGGAGAGCAGCTTTATAGAAAGAGCATATTCTTCATCCCATTTTCTTTCAAGCGTTCTTCTTTTTGTTTTGTTTAAAGCCAGAATGATTTCAAAAGATAAAATTCTTTATATTCATTCTCAAATAAGCCACTGCTAATGTTATTCTGGAAGATTAACATTCACTGGAGAGTCTATGCTGTAGGCAGTGTATAATTTTACATTTATCTTTATTACATGCATAGTTTTCAACATAACTTCATTCTCATTTGAAGCTAAACTTTACTGGACCCTTTTCATTTAAGATGCAAGATACCAAAGCAGATGCTTGATTATAGAGAAAGCATAATTGGTGTCCCTGATTCATATTATTGCTGTTTACAATTTTAAAATAATTTAATACTTTTTGCCAGCACTTCAGAGATTTCACATTCAATTTTAGGAATGTTTGCGAGGAAGGCTAATTGTGTGTATGAAATAAGTCCTAAAACACCCTTCAGATCATACAGAAATAGGAAGATTTCATATCAGTAACGAAATCCCATTTGTAATTGTATTGGACAAGGCATCATGGGAAGGTGGTTATTTATATCAAGGGAATCCATAATCCATTACTTCTTTAAAATGTCTGGCACTAAGACCCATAATTCTGTTAAATAGCCACATAATAATTAACATAGTTCCCAATAACGTTAACTCATTTTGTTTTTTTTTAAATGTTTGTATTGTTAATTTGTAATTTTTCTCACCAATATCCTTATGAGATGATGCTTACTAGAAAAACATGTGTATTGTACCACAGTGTTTGTTGAATGAAAAATATGGAATGTGTTTATTGTGCTAATCCTCCTATGTACCCTCTTACAGCTGTGTAGCCCTCAGTATTATGGCTAAGTCAAAGAACCACAATGGAGGGACCCATTATAATATGGACTAGAGGGGAAAGTATAGTGTTTCCAGACAAACAGTCTTGGGTTCCAGTCTGGGATCGGCTACGTCTTAGTTGGGGACATTGGGCAAGCTATTGCCTTCTCCATGAAGCTCAATTTCTTCATATATCAGGGTGGGGGAGCAGATAATACCTATCTCGTTAGTTGTTCTGAGATTGAAGAAACAACCTTTGTGAAGTTCTTGGCATATAATGATGCAGTGACTCTTATCTTTACCTTTCTTTCACTCCTCTGGCTCTCTGGGATTTTCCCAGGGTCTTATTCCAATAACAACTTACGGGAGGGAAAAAACTAGATTCAGATATTTTTTGGAAAGTATTATCAAAACTCACCCTTTTCCATTGTATTTTTCAGCTCAATTCAACCTTCCAAAACTGGAACTACACTGTTTATGTGGTTAATATCAGGTAAATGACAGAGTGAATGACTTGAGAAGTAAAAAGTAGTGTCTCATTTAATGCTACTCTTCATCTCTGTGATTATACCCCACATACCTGATACAAATACACACATACACAATATTCATAGTCTTTCTAAAACAACTCTATGTCATTTCTCTGCACAAAAATCTTCAAAGCTCAGCAATTGGTTTTAATTTTTATCATGGATCCCAATCTTTAAAAAATATTAGTGTATGTTCCCAAAATATATTTGTGATTTTAAATAAATTTGTGTATGTGTATTACTTAACCAGTATATGTTATAAATATATCACAAATTAAAAGAAGACAATCATATATATATGGAAGTTCTGTTAGTTTCATCTCATGCCCCAGTGAACCATCGATATAGCACCCCAGTTTGGAGACTGTTTTTCTACAAAATAAGACATCTACAATCTGTACCTAGCTTTTCAAAAATATCTTTTACTATTCTATTTGAATATTTTAACTGCCTAGCCAATAGTATATCATCCACATACCCTCCTCTGTGCCTTGTTTTCACAGTTTTAAATTAGTTTTCAAAAGTGTATTTCACTAACCCTAAATATATATCCTGTGGACCCAAGAGACGTTATGAGTTAACACAGAAAGAAGAATCACAGGTTGAATTCGCTCAAGAAGTACATTCTTTTTTTTTTTAAGATTTATTTATTTATTTATGATAGAGAGAGAGAGAGAGAGAAAGAGAGAGAGAGAGGCAGAGACACAGGAGGAGGGAGAAGCAGGCTCCATGCCGGGAGCCCGACGCAGGACTCGATCCCGGGACTCCAGGATCGCGCCCCGAGCCAAAGGCAGGCGCCAAACCGCTGAGCCACCCAGGGATCCCCCCAAGAAGTACATTCTTAAACTGAAACAGATTTCCATATATCTGAATATCTCAGATTATTTAGTATAACAAACATGGATTGTGAATCTTGAAAAGAAAGGAAGGGTGCACAGCTACCAAGCTTATTTGACAATGGAGTCATTTGGTTTTGAGCATATAAAAAGAACTGGAACCTCAGGACACACATTTGGAAATACTGGTTTAGGATGTTCACTTTGCCTCTTTCTTTTACCTCCTCAAATTTTGTTGTTGATGATGTGGCAGATGAGGTTGATAATGAATACACATATCTGTATTTATAGTTTTCATCTGAGCATGGGAGAAGACAAGATTAAAGTCAAGAGAAGCATTGTGAATGATCAAAGGTAACGCTGACAAAGTCTTACAGAAATTGTAACATCCTTTCTCTAGCTCTCTGTTTTGACCGGTAGAGAAATGAAAATAGGGAGATAGGAGAGAGATATTTTAATTAGGTAGCAGTTTTAAGTTATTTCTATAGCACTAGCACACTAGTTTTTTTTCTTGTAGTTAAAACCATCAAATAGACTGGATGGAGACATACATATGAAGAAAAAATAATTCAGAAGTAGAACATTTTAAATGTATGAGTTCTTATTTTAGTATTTATAGTTTATTTATGATAATCCATTACCTCTTAATTGAAATTTCAAAAAGAGCATTAAAGGGAAAAAAAGATAGTTATAACTTTAAGTAAGTACTTATATATAGAAGCATCTAATAATATGGGTAACAGCTAATTTTTGGAAGTCCCCATTTTAAAATTTATATCAGGACCATGACTTATGCAGGCAGGTAATTTAACAGATCTATCCACCATATAGAATCAGTTGGCACATAAAGGCCAGCTGTTCAGAATGCTGTATAATTATAATTGTTTAAAAACAATTTAAACTCCCAAACGAAATAAATTTAGTTGTGTTCAAGTAGTCTATCACATTTCCAAAGGAGAGAAAAAAAAAGTTGAATAGTAAATGTTCATGTCAGTCTTGCTTAATTTCTTTTTTTTTTTTAGTCTTGCTTAATTTCAATTGACTAAATAGATTTTACAGATTTACAGCCATGATGATGGAATATACTTCTTTTCAGATGATATATTCTTATTAGGAGAAAATAAAAATAGAATTTTTTAAATAAATTTATTTTTTATTGGTGTTCAATTTGCCAACATATAGAATAACACCCAGTGCTCATCCCATCAAGGGCCCCCCTCAGTGCCTGTCACCCAGTCATCCCCAACCCCCACCCATCTCCCCTTCTACCACCCCTAGTTCGTTTCCCAGAGTTAGGACTCCCTCATGTTCTGTCTCCCTTTCTGATATTTCCCACTTATTTTTTCTCCTTTCCCCTTTATTCCCTTTCACTATTAAAAATAGAATTTTATATGAGAGTTGGCCAGAGAGTTTTTTCTTTTTTTTTTCTTTTTCTGTTTAATATTAGAGAAACAGATGTGTTTAAGTTATAATTGAAACTTTTCTAATATATATTCAACAGACTGTCTTGGACCATCTGATCAGGGAAATTTGTTTTTATCTTCATTATTCCTTGTCCTTTGTGATCTGAAGAATAGAATGATTATTTTAATACTATATTCCTGATGGTGATTGGTCACCTGTCACCTGAAGGCCACCTGGTCACCTGAAGGTGATCTAGCCTTTACTGCTAGATCATATTGATTCTTTGCCACACATTTTGTCTAACAATTGGGGCAGACCTAGTTTGGGGTGTCACCAATGCTATATCCTCCTCAGGAAGTCAATATTGTCCTTTTAGTGCACCTACTGTGACTCTTTTACTACCCAGTAACACTAAAGTCCGCCATCATTAGTAGATGTCAGTACCTCAGAAACTCTTGCTTAAAAAAACATTTAAATTCATGGAATCTCAGTTTTCTATCTGTCAAACCAATAAGTAACTTCACAGAAAATTATAGGGAAAGGGAACCAAGGCCATGTATATGAGAAAGTACAGACGTTTAGTTTTTCTTTGGTATAAATCTTTGTTTTAAAAATTTTTTTAACTGCTTAAAAGCCTGTTTTAAAATTTTTTAATCATTTCAAAATTGTTTTAAAATGTATTCTTAAAAATGTATTCTTATAGTAGTCTTTTTCTCCCTCTCTTTTTTCTAATATCTATGGCTCTGATACTCATTGATGAATCTTTATAGTCGCTCATAGTTTTTCTCTCAAAAACCATGACTACTAGTTTTACACACAGACTTTTTCTTTCAGTTTGGTTGTAACACTTAACATAGACCATAACCTCAGATAATGCTATCATCTTCTATTGCCTAGACAGATAGGAAACCAAAGCCACAGAAATGGGTTTATTCAAATAAAGGATGATTGATGGTAACAGCTGATGAAACTTTGTGAAACCATAAACTAGTTTCAGTTTTCAGGACAAGAGAGGAAAATACAGAGATAAGACCTGTGAAAATGCATGACCATTCTTGAATTGCTGAATTTGGGTATTCAGTATTATCACAATACATTGTACTCATTGTGTTCTCAATATTAAAGAGAAGTAAAAGGTCATGTTCCCAACACTAAGTTCTCAGTAACTGGCGTAGCAAAGCTTATCTTCCAACAATAATTTAATCAAAGGATACTTTCCCTAGGGCATTTACAAAATTGGGAAATTATCACAGCTCACCATTATATTTACATCTATGTCTCACTCAACTGAAAGTATGATTTATATGTGAACCCTGAGTAGATCATTTTTGAGATAGCTTTTCAGACTGAATTATGAGAACAGCTCAACACTTTAAGATTAGCACAGATATTCAGAAGAAAAAAAAATGGGAGCTCTTCTTTAATTTTACCTAACCTTGAATAACCTTGAATAGCATAGGTTTCATTTTGTCTTTCTTCTTTTAGCACCACAAATATATCAATAGTCTATTTCATTTTTGTTAATACCTACATAACTTTATAAACAAAATATGCTATTCCTCTCTACTGGCAATACTTATTTCAAAAGCAGCACTACTACCTTGATTTTGGCAAATTTTGATTTCTACTCTTTAGTATAGCTATGATTACAGTGAAATAGAAAATTGTATTATTTCAAAATGTAGAATGAAAAAAAAAATTTTTAGAATGAAAAATTTTGATGGGGCTTTTAGGGTACATCTCTGCTTCTCATAGAAATATTTTCTTTTTAAAGACATTCAGGGGAAGACAGTCTGTAAACTTCTGTAATATCCCCTCCAATCACCATGTATATTTTAGAGTATTTATTTTGTACCTTTTCACCATACAGCATACTTGCAAATGCTTCCAGGAGATAGAAAATCATTATCACAATTCTGGAGATATTTGTAACACATTTGTAGACAATAACACCCTTAATAATTTTAAAGTCAAATGATTAGTTTAGTCAGATTTGTTGGAATTTAATTTTTCTAAAAAAAATTTTCTTTTGGCTACAAAGAAACAATGAGGAATTAACTATTAAAGTATGGCCCTTTCTTGCCTATATACTATATATAAGTATTACTTAACATATTCCTTAAAAGATATGAGGCGATATGATATGATAGAATTATACATGTGATATCCTATATAAGCTATTCATACTGAGATATTTTTAACATTACAATTTGTGCAGTGACAGGAGTCTTTGAGTGCCTTGACCTATTACTCCAGTCTCAATGTTTCATGGTCGGTCGTCCCTCTTACTACCATATCCAAGTGTACTGTTTTTCCACCAAAAAAAAAAAAAAAAAATCAACCACCCAGTCAGCAGTTCTAACAATTATATCTGAAATGCTTTTCTAGGTTGGTGATTTGGGCCCTTCTAGTTTACAATGCTACCAACAATCCCAATTTAGAAGGAAAAGACATTCAACAGAAGCTCTTAAAAAATAATGAATCCCTGGATGAGGGCCTGAGGCTGTATGCAGTGAGTGTGAAACAACTGGGTAAGTGCATTCAATTTTTTATATGTATTTAATATAACCATTCAGGTTTAATTGAAGCAGCAACAACAGTATTTTTCCTGTTTGTATTGTTTGCTTATTTAAAACTATTTTTTTCTGATGATGAAATTCATCATATTGGTGGCATAGTAACAAAGGGGTGATGTGGGTAATATAAAAGATATCAACACTTATGAATCTAAGGGAATCAAAGAGGCAGAAGAGAATTTATACTTGATTTTGGGGACATATTCTAGAAATACTAAGAATTTGAGCAAAGTGCCAAGACAGTCTTAACCAGAATTGGCTTCAACTTCAGAAATAAAGCGTGGATATATGTATGTATGGAAACTCTAATGAGGTAAATCTTAGAAAAGGCAATTTCTTATTAGAAAACATCTCCTTCTCTTATGTTTTCTATCTTTATTAATGATATCAGTGTCTTCAGAGGAATAGGACAGAAATCTGGGAATTATCCAGGATTGAGAGTTAGTTCTTACGTAGACACCATTCATATCCTGAACTCCATCCACACACATGGTACTGCTTGTACCACCTCAGACTATGCTGTGTTCCCTTCTGCTTCTCTGTCTTGCCCACACTGCTCTTCTGGACTTTCACCATTCACCTGCTTATCACATCATTGTTTTAAAGATAGCCCAAAGTCATCTTTTCTGTGATGTGTTCTATGACATCATCATGTATCAATAAGAGTCATTGCCTTTGAGCCTCTACTTCATGCTGTCCTGATACCTAGAGCACTGTACAAATTAGAAGACCATAGTATTAGACTGGACGTTCTTATGGATATTATCTTTAAACAGAAATCTTCTCTGACTTGAGAACACCTGTTAGTTTCTTTTAACACCCTTGCTTCCTACCTTCCCTAGCATCCAGCACATTCCCTAGCACTTAAATACTTGAAAAAATAAGTGAATGAGATTCGATGGAAATATTTTGGAAAAGTTAATGATCACAAATATGGACAACAAAAAGTGAAGTTATTCTAATGTTACATGATTATAACTATTGATTAAGCATATTAATAGAGATCAAGAGAAAACTTTGACATTTTCCTTATGCACACTCAGGAGGCTAATGTGAGAGAAGCAAGTATTCCTCAGTCTCTAAGATGCTGATTCCAACTGAGGCCAGAATCCTGGTGTAATAAAGAAGCAGGCATCCCTGCTTCTATGAGAAACTACCCATATGTAATGTGTCCACATACACAACTACAGAGAACTCATAGAGGTGGCGAAATACGAATCATTGCTGTCTTCACTATCATGAACAGTTTCTGAGCCTCTGTGAGAAAGTGCTTGCTTATTAACAAATGGCATTTCTTTTTTTTTAAATAAAGATTTTATTTATTTACCCACAAGAGACACACAGAGAGAGAGAGAGGCAGAGGGAGAAGTAGTCTCCATGCAGGGAGCCTGACACAGGACTCGATCCCAGGTCTCCAGGATCACCCCGCAGGTTGAAGGCAGCACTAAACCTCTGAGCCACCCGGGCTGCCCAACAAATGGCATTTCTTGAGGCTTGGGAGAGTCTGCATGCTTCCTGTCACAAAAAAATGTCTCCGCGAGGAGGTAGCTTGACGAATGGTAGGTTAGATGTAACAGGGAAGCTTTGTGAGGGCCGGCTGGCCTCATCTCTGTCCTAGGAGCCTGCAGAATCCCAGAAAACTCACTTGCAGACCTAAACATATAATTTATACTACTTAATTTAGGTTCTATAATTTATTGTTTTTCTGCAGGTATGCCTATGAGGAAAAGTTTATAGCAATTGAAAATATTAAGGCCAAATCCTGATAATGTTAAGACTCAGAATGTAGTTGGGAAAGTTCTTTAAATGTTCAACTGGTGACTGTAATACCAGTTCCCAATAGTCTGCTATAACTTGCTATTCCTCAGTCCAGGAATAATACAATTTTGTTGTCATTAATATATTGCTTTTATTTGGATATTTTTAAAATTGTGGAATCTGAGTTATTTATGTCATGACACTTGCCTAGAGAGTTTTCCAACAACAGATGGGATGATTTGAGGGTGAAGGCATGTGTGAGAGACATGTGATGCTGGTTCATGGGTCTCCTTTTGCCATTCCCCCAGCAAACTTCCAGGCAGAAGATGCTTTCAGAACAGGTGGAAATTTTTCCATAAAATATGCTTGCAACTCAATGACAACAGGATTGATGTATTATTTTATAATAATAATTTAGGCTTTCCTTTTTGGAAAAAGATCATATTACATTTTGAATTTTGAAATTTTTCCATAAAATATGCTTGCACATTTTGAATTTTGAAATTTTTCCATAAAATATGCTTGCAACATTTTGAATTTTGAAATTTTTCCATAAAATAATGCTTGCAACTCAATGACAACAGGATTGATGTATTATTTTATAATAATAATTTAGGCTTTCCTTTTTGGAAAAATATCATATTACAGTTTGAATTTTTCAAGATCATCATTGTATGTAGTGTTTATTTTTTGAATAAACCTTTATTTTACTAATTTTAGCTGCTAATGATTTATGTTAGAATAATGATATATGTTTCATAATGATACTCCCATAAATATGACTTTGATTTGGATAATTTTTATATCTGAAATGTACTTAAATGCTTATTTTTCCTAATTTCTAAATGTTTACCAATTCTGAACATAAAACAACTAGTATCTTAGTATTACATGAAATAAATACCTGAGTACCAACATTGTCATTTTGCTCCCTCTTTCACTTCTAACTTCAAAGAATAGATTAACATTTCCATGTCGGTTCTTACTTCCACATAGGTTTATGTCCTGCTGATGAGGATCCCAAAGGCTATCATTGGCCACTCATCCCACCTTCTGTATTCAACCTTCCCTGTCCAGGAAAGCAGGGCTTTTATGCTTCACGGACATGGTAACGCTTTTATTGAATCTTGCCAGTAAAGCTCCACATTATCTACCTTCCTGGGTTACACAGGCTGCACAGTAGTTCCCACCAATTGTATAGTAGTTCCCACCAATTGTATATTGATTGGAAAGTCTGTGAATACTTAAATCATAGACTTCATGGAGGGTAAAAGATAAGGCAGGTAGGGTACCAAGAAAACCCTTTTTACTCCAAGCACCATGCTATTTTAGCCTTCTACAAAGAAAGAGGAAGAAGTCTGGAAACCACAGGGTGGGTCTAGAGCAGAGCACTTTGTATAAGGATGAACGAACTAACTCACAGCTTTGTAACATGCATCAGAAATTCCAAAACTTTTGAACAATTTGGAGTGGTTATTGTTGGAATGGGAAGAGGCAGAAAAAGAGGGAATAAATTCAGAATCCATGTTAGGGCAGACTGCTAATGGAGACTGTCAGGGTGTAGATTTTCCATGTGTTTACCTCAGAGACAGGTTGATTGCAGAGGATTCACTGCTTAGCAAGTGAGACCCAGCTCTTCACTCTCTACCTCACCCCCTGTTAGAGTTTTCTCATGGGGGTGGTGAGATCAGAAATGGAAACTGCCAGAACTTTGCACATTCTGCTGTGTTTGACATATGGTAGGGAGTAAAGAAGGGAGAGTTACTGACCGTAGTTTGAAACAAGGCTCTACCTCTTCCTAGCTGTGAGACTTTGGAATATTCTTTGATTTCTCAAAGTCTTTTTTCCTCACCTTTGAAGTGTGTATTGTGATCTGCTTTACAGTTATATGAGATTAAAATCAGATTTTATCAAAGTTCTTAAAGAGATATTTGATCCATGTTACTGAACACTTTAACCTTAGTAACCTGATACATCCTAGCTGAGGACACATGCTATTGCTGGTATAGTATTATGTTTCCAGGATGCATGGCACCTGATTTTTTTCCGATAAGAATTCTTAGTAGGAGTTTTATTTCAATATACTACAATTTTATTTTCAAAAGAAATTTACCTAGATATCAAGGCAAATTCTCAAACATATTAACTAATTTGTCAGTTATACTGTCATTTATGCCAAATATTTGAAATACCTTGTTTTGTTCCGTAGTTATCGTGACCCTGCCAACACATCTTTGGCCTACTGGGGGCCTCCTGATATCTCCAACTGTTCAAGTGAGTGAGCAATTTTTCTTCAATTCTCACAGGCAAAGTGAAATGACTTCATAGTTTTCATCCTCTTGAGATCTATTCTTCTGCCATACGATAGCCATTGTAATATTAAAAGCTAAGCAAGTGATTGTTTTACATAAGGTAGAAAATTCTTTTTTTCCCAATTCTAACTTTCTTGTATATTCTGTTGGAAATTAAAAACAGACAATTTTAGAGAAGACGTAATATATAAATAAATATGTATAAATTAATATTAATATTATGTTATTTATTCATTTGAGAGAGAGAGAACAGGAGCCAGGAAGAGGGGCAGAGAAAGAAGCAGATGCCCCCTGCTAAGCAGGGAGACAGCTATGGGGCTTGATCCCAGAACCCAGGGATCATGACCTGAGCCGAAGGCAAATGCTTAACCGACTGAGTCACCCAGGCGCCCCTAGTTGTGTATTATTTTTAAAAAGCAGATACACACTTATTTTTTGTGATTCTGGGGACATTTCTCTTAGAACTATATATGATTATTGGTCACTCCAAAGTTGGGACTATGAAGTGGAAATATTATAGTATGTTTTGGATTCCTGAACTATTCAAAATTTTGTGTGTTCTTTTTTTTGTCTTTTTTTTTTTTTAGGGGAAGCAAATGAAGTGGCCAACCAGATTTTAAATTTAACTGGTGATGGGCAAACCTTAAACTCAGCCAATATTACCAGCATTGTAGAGCAGGTGAAAAGGATTGTGAATAAAGAAGAAAATATTGATATAATGCTTGGTTCAACTTTAATGACTATATTTTCCAATATCTTAACCAGTCCGGACAGTGACTTGCTTGAGTCTTCTTCTGAGTGAGTATTTTTTTCTTCTGGAGAGTAAAATTTATTTGGATACATGTTATGTAATTTCTATTATCTGAACGCATGGTGGGCAGCTTTCATCATTTAAATATCCAGAAGATCTCTGAATATTTCCCAATATCATTCACAAAGTGAACTTCAAAGTTGTCTGTTTTCTTTCTTGAGAAAAATAATTTACAAAATGATTAGGATTGTCCATCTGGCAAGATACATAAATAGCCCCAGAAAAACATAATCAGTATGTCATTTCTCATCTGAAAAAATGTTAATTGGAATTAATTCACAAGATAAGCTACTATATATATTAGCATAGGATACTTTGCTGGCAGAGGAGACACTTAGCAAATGTTCAGCTCACATCTTTTAGCACAACTTTGTCACTGTAAGTTCTGTCCTATGGACTGTGACACAGATATGCCACAGCTGTGTGATCCTTATACTTCAGGAATGAAAATGTCCAGGGTAGGTGAAATGTACCTGTTTTTACACAATTAGTTTGCATCCAGTTATTTCATTTAATATGTTAATATTTCTTCTGTGTCCTTCCTATCCACCAAATTTCTTCAATAAAAATTTTATATTTGTTAAAATGTGTTTTTTAACTTACCTTATCTACATAATAATTATAAACTTTTTTCATAGTGTCTTAGAGTTAAAATAAATGCTTTGCCTCATTATTTTCCTTCTCACTCAGTTATAAAATAAGGAAAGAGAGGTTAAGAGGTAAAAAACGGTATTTGTTTAGAGTGATTTAATTGTTGATATTCCTTAAAGCCTAATATTTCTCTTGAGGAAGCATTTATCACTATCATTCTGTGTTTTAACTGATACTGCGGTTTGGGGTAATTTTGTTGGTATTCATGTTAAGGTCACAAAATATAAAGGCGATTTTACCTGGTCTGTATTTTGTCCTGCAAGTCACATGTTTATAAGTACATAAAACATGTTACTTAACAATGGTATTGTTATTTCTTTAGAGCTTTAAAAACAATTGATGAATTGGCCTTCAAGATAGACCTAAATACCACATCACGTGTGAATATTACAACTCGGAATTTAGCCCTTGGAGTATCATCCCTGTCCCCAGGGACAAATGAAATCTCAAATTTTAGCATTGGTCTTCCAAGCAATAATGAATCCTATTTTCAGGTAATGAGCCAGTGGTTTCTTTAGTTTTAAGAAATAAAAGAGATTAGAGAAATAAAAACTATCTGATCACTTGCCAGTTACTACTTCAAGATCTTGGTCCACTGGTTGCAGGCAGGTAGGTCAGAACGTTGGCTAAGGTTAATAGTAGCAGAAACCACAGGTATGTAGATGCTGAGAGGAGGTATTCTTTTAGAGCCTGGGTGATGGGGTGGTCCGCTTACCCTCTACAAGGGGTGATAGTGGAACTAAGTGTTAAACCATCAGTGGAAACTACCCCATTGACAGTGGTGGGAGGAGATCAGTTCAATCAAAAGAAAGGGCTTAAATAAAAATGTTTTTTAAAAGGGGGGGAGGAGCGCCTGGGAGGCTCAGTGGTTGAGCTTATGCCTTCTGCTCGTGACCCCAGGATCCTTCAGGTCGTGACCCCAGGATCTGGGATCGAGTCCACATCGGGCTCCCCACAGGGACCCTACTTCTCCCTTGGCCTGTGTCTCTGCTTCTCTGTCTGTGTCTCTCATGCATAAGTAAATAAAATATTTTTTTGTTAAAGAAAGGGCTTCATTAAGGACTCAGGTGGGAAGAAGAAGTGTCATGTATTCAACCGTGCCAGTGGTTTTCAAATTGCATGATAACACCTGGAGGACATGTCAAAACAGATTGCGGGGTACCATCCCAAGAGATTCTAATTTAGTAGGTCCTAGGTGGATCTCCAACGTTTGCTCTTGGAACAGCTCCCAGGCATTGCCAATTCTGCTAGTCTTTGAATGGGACTCTGAGAACCAGTGGCATGAAGCTGGGGAATGGTAGGCAGTGATGAGGCTGGACAGGTTAATGGAGAGCCTCTCTGATCTGTGGAAGTGACCCTTCAGCAAAGATTTTTCAAGTTCCTACTGTATGTTAGTGCTAACCATGGGGGCAAATGAAATGATCACAACACCATCCTAGGTGTGGAAGAGCACACGAAGGCATGTACTGCTTCTCCACTGTGGAGATAAACCAAGATAAAATATTTTAGAATCTGGTTGAAAGGAAGAACATTTCTCTGCTTGAGAGTAGGGGCTCTTGTGGAAATTTCTGTTTCACATTCAAGAGTGAAAATTTGGTCATGAGCCTCAGTCTCATTCCAAGTCCACTTGCAGGAAGACACTTTTTAGCCCCTTTGGTGGGTTCTGGAAAAGTGATATCCAAGAGTATTCATAAAGCCTCAGTTGTTTCCTCTGTGCAGAGATGCTCATTCTCAGCATCAGACTAATTAACTCTAGTTTTTTCCCCTGCTTTGTAGTTTTCTGTCACTAGGTGTTTTGAGAAAAGCTCAAAATCTATTAATTGTAAATCTATGTCTTATACTTGAAAATGTTAACTGATTAGTCTGTTTCTCAATTTGCCTTCATCAAAATCCATGTGTCTTCCATGTTTTTCCATGTTTGCAAAACTCAGACAAGATACAGGCTTTTGTGTGTAGGGATTCATTCAGGAGGGCAGTGACTCCAGTAGGGGTAAATAAAGTGAAGCCCTGGCCCTAGCTGAGTAGCTGTTCTCCTGCCTTGTTCAGTATGTGGAGTAGTTATCATTGCAATTTGTCTTTACTTGACCAGTGTATCTCTTTGTGTGTGACAGATGGATTTTGAAAGTGGACAAATGGATCCATTGGCTTCTGTAATTTTGCCTCCAAACTTACTTGAGAATTTAAATCAAGAAGATTCTGTGTTAGTTAAAAGAGCACAGTTTACTTTCTTCAATAAAACTGGACTCTTCCAGGTATGGGTTCATTAAATTATTTTTCAATTGCAAATTGAGTTTCCTTGCTCAAAAAATAAAAATAACAGTTTGGATTCCTCGAAAATATATCAGGAGGCATAGAGAAATTAAACTACTGGATCTTCAAATATGAAAAATTGTAACAATTATTTAAGCATTTTATTTCAGGTAATTATATGCATATTACAGGATGTGTTCATGTAGGTTTTTAAAATAAATATTAGATTAAGACTTACATGGTACAATTAGGAACGGAATTTGTGGAGAAGTAACTATCTATTATTCCTTTTGTTAAATATTTTATGCTCTCCAGCAATTTAGACCTTCAGAGTCAAAGAAATTGTGTGCCAAAGGAAGGGTATGGTTTTTGTTTCTGGTTTTTTTTTTTTTTTTTTTAATTCAGCAGGAAGCACTGTTTACATAATGAACAGCATTCTTGGCTTTAATCAGTTTTCCCATTAATATTTCAAATGACCTTTAGCCTTCACACATCCCCAGAGTGGGGTGGCATTGTGCTGAGCACATATTGTCATTTTTATTGGCATCATTTTTAGATATTAGAAAGTCCACTGCCAGCAAATACTGGTGACCTCTGATTGCCTTTGAAAGTGCAACCCAATTCAGAGAGTTTCACTGAGCCCTTTTTAAAAAATAAAAGTTATCTATTAAATTAAATACACCAGTATATATTAAACAATGCCATCTGTATAAGAGAAAATAGCCAAGTCTCAAGGCCAATAGAATTGTTTCTAATTCATTTACAGAAGCATGGCAAAGAAATACCATGAAATCATTTACAATAATTCTAAAATGTTAAAGTTTTTTTCAGCAAATGTTTTAGAAACAAGCTACAGAAAACCTTTATGTAAATTAAGAACGTAATTGCTAAGTAGTCTGAAGGATTTAGTAGCTATAAACAGGTAAAACGACATTTATTAAAATTATTTGAGGCTTACAGCGCCACCTTTAAAAGCAAAACAGAAATGCAGTATGTATCACAAAAATGTGACTGGTGATAGAGGAGGCTTTGTTCAGAGAAGAAGTTGAGCCCAGCAGGGAGGGTTTGGGAGAAGGGTTAGAACTATAAGAATCTGACATTGTTTCATCTTGAGTCTGTCTTCTGCGCACTACCTTTCCCTTCTCCCTCAGCATCTCCCAATCACCATATTATTATTAGGAAACATATGTTTGGTTTTTAAAGTAAATTAATAGCAGAATAAAAAGATTTTAAGGGTTCTGTGGTAAACTCCTAACTTAGTGAATAAGATATGAGTATTTTTTTAAAAAAAGACAGGTATCCATAAGCCATTACCAACTTTGTTGAGCATGATCACAAAAGTAATGAAAAACTATATTCTGAATGCTGAGATTTATTTGGCATGTAAGAAATCCTATGATTATTCCCAAATAACTGATTATAAGCTTCAATAGAGAAGTGCAGGTAGTTTGACAAGAAAAGCACAAGGGAGGAAGAAGTAAGAGATGGTCTTGCTGAGAGACATACTGTTGGCCCTAGTCATTTTTTGAGCACGGGATTCACTGATTTGATTTCCTGACAACCTTGTCTCTGAAGGGGAAGCTACCGAGGGTGGCAAGTATACAATCACAGAAGGTAGAAGTTCTGGTTGGGGGTGCCTGGGTGGGGCAGTTGGTTAAGTATCTGACTCTTGATTTTTGGTTCAGGTCACCATCTCAGGGTCATGATCTCAGAGTCATGAGATTGAGCCCCTCCCCTCCTCAGATCTGAACTCAGCATGGAGTCTGCATAAGACTCTCTCCTTTACCCTCTCCTTCTGTGCAATCCCCCCTCCCCGCAGCCATCATGCTCATGCTCTCTCTCTCTCTTTCTCAAATAAATAAATCTTAAAAATAATTTTTAAAAAAGCTGTAGTTCTGGATGGGACCTTCATCTAGTAGAATTACATTTCGTTGTAAGTTACTAAACACATCAGGCTGTTGGCATGGATATGAATTTTTTTTTTTTAATTTTCACACCGTATTTCTTTATATTTTTCTAACAGCAAACAACTTCATCTGTTTTCTAGGGCAGGGAAATGATCTAATTGTTTTGTGGCTCTTTATGAGTATATTATTTCTGGGTTCACATTGTTTCAGATGTTAACTGGCTGACATCAGCCATAGCAATCAAGAGTAGGTTTTATGAACACTGCCTTGCAGCATTGGCTCATAATGTTCCCTCAATGTATTTATTATAATAAGGGAAATAGCAAAGCTCTTTCAGGAAAGCCGGCAATTTGATTTTATAAACAGGATGTTTTATAATTGAAAATCTTAAATGTAAAAAGTGCTGACAGTTTGCGTGTTTGGGAACTCCCAAATCAAATAAAAGGATACTTCTGATGAATAATCCACTTTTTTTCTTTAAAAGGATGTAGAAACCAAGAAAGGCACCTTAGTGAGTTATGTGATGGCATGCAGTATTGGAAACATTACTATCCAGGGTCTGAAAGATCCTGTTCGAATTAAAATCAAACACACAAGAAGCCAGGTAAGAAAATGCTACAGAGAACAATGGAAAAGAGGCAAACTATTTCAGAGAAGTATGAGGCCTTTTTGTTCCCTGACACAGTAAGAATTTTATTTTACTGGCACTTTTTTTGAGGGGAGCAATTTTCCAAAAAGGGGAGAACAGTTAATCAGGTGGGTACCATAGTGTCATGTTAAATATTGCCAAGTGGGGAGACTCGTCCATCTAGGGTTCAGTCATGAGAAGAATGAGAGTGAGGAAGACAACCTCTTTTGAAGGAACAACATATTGCTTTGAGAAATCAGATGCAGTTGCACAATCCTGCCGTTAAAAAGTTTGTGGGTTTTTTTTTTTTTTTTCAAGTCAGAAATTCCTGCTACTGGGAAAGCAGAAGGGAAATAGGCCAGGATGGACTTCTTTTTTTGAGAGGTTAGCAGTTATCTAAAATCTTGGCACATGTTGCTTTTTTGTTGCTTCATTGCCCTTGCTATCGTCTGTTTATTTGATAAAATTATACAGGGCTTCTCATGGTCCCAGGTAAGGCCAGGCACAGGCTTTCCCCTCCTTGACGGAGGGCCCACTTGTGATTCTCCCATTTATTAGGCAGTCAGGAAGGCAGGCAGGAAGGAAGCTGGCTGATAAGAAATGAGGCTTGGAAGTTAAGTCATCTAAGAACTAGCCTTGCTTTGTCACCGAGCCCTCTGAGACTTCCTTGTTCTACCCTTTGGCTTCCTTTGTTTCAACTCCTTAATGCATGAAGAATTTTTTTTTATTGTGGTAAAATACATAATATAATACTATGTTAACCATTTTTAAGTGTACAGTTCTGTGACATTTTAGTACATTTATGTTATTCTGCACACATTGTGCCATTCATCTCTGGAATTGCTTCATGATCCCCAGCTGAAACTATGTACCATTATAGAGCGGCTCCCCATTTCCCCTCCTCGGGACCCCACAACCACCATTTTACTCTCCATCTCTATGAATGTAACTATTTGAGGCACCTCATGTAATTGACATCGTATAGTATTTGTCCTTTTGTGACCTGCTTATTTCATTTGACATCATCTCTTCAAGGTTCATCCATGTTCTAGCATGTACCAGAATTTCTTTCCTTTTTAAGGCTAGATAATATGTATGTATAATATATATGTATGTATGTATATCTCCCACATTTTTTTATCCATTCATCCATCAATGAGTACTTTGATTGCTTCCACCTTTTGGCTGTTGTGAGTAAAGTTGCTGTGAACATGGATGTGCAAATATCTGTCTGAAGCCCTACTTTCAATTCGGGGCACATACTAAGACATAAAGGATAAATTTGAAGATGAAGTGAAATTACAATATAAAGAGCTTTGATAAATGCTAAGAATATCATTTTATGGTGGTACATAAATAGTAACCTTTAGGTAAATGGGAAGCACATTTCCTCATGAGGTTATGGTTGGTTTCCACTTGAAGTCTCTGTGAGAGGAGATCCTTCTGGACTGCCTGCCATTCTTAGGTTGTATCAGCATGACTAATACTGGTCTATTTCTTTGTGAAAACCTTAGCATTTTGACTCTTTTCCCATATTCAGATTCTAAGATTTTTCACTTATTTTAAACACAATTTCACATGTTTATTCTTATGTTAATATAGGCAGTGCCTCATCCCATCTGTGCCTTCTGGGATCTGAACAAAAACGGTAAGTTTTAAAATATTGGCTGTCTTAAGAACAACTGAATTTTAAACATTGTTAGACACCCCCGTTTCCTTTCATTCCACCCCAGCCAGAGTGAGTCACAGTGTAAGTGTGATGACAACTGAACTGCAAAGTTTAGTTTAGGTAGCAGAGGAAGTGAACCTAATTTCTGCAACTTTTTACTCATTGCAAGAAGAAATAAGTAAACTTGATTTTTTTTTATACCAAACAACCTCTTTGATTTCAGATACAGTTGTGCATTTGTGTTGTCACTTTTAGAGGAACATCAGTATATACTTACTTGATCTTATTCATTTAAGGACACCTCTGAGATTATTTGATTGTGCATGAGGCACACAATTTAGCATCCAACTTCCAGATCTCAGATTTATGGGGAAAGCATATTAAAGGACTATAAATATAGAGGTGGTTATAATACATATATTTGACTTGAAAGAAATGAACTGCTTCCAAAATGACATTGAACAATTAAGAGAAAATGGCAAAATTAAGTCACTAAGTATAAGGTATGCAGAACTCTTTGATGTGAAGGATGATCTATGAAACCTCCTACCTCTGCCTCCTGAGGGTCACCTTCCGTTGGGGATCCCCAGGGATATTATCATGGCTAAATCAAACCAGCACCAGTACAGTCTGCTTCTTGGTAGAAATGAATTCTGTGGGTGTCCAACCTCTGTTTTTGATATACCTTATCACAGCTAGGAAATTTTTTGTTGTTTGGTTTCTAGTTGCACAGTTTTGACAAAGTGGATTTACTGGATACATAATTTAAAATGATATCACCTTGCAGTGTTAAAATAATCTTTAAACATATAAGTTGCTCATATTCCACATCCTACCATAAAAGTTAGATAAAATGCATTCAAGGCATTCATAATAAGCTGCCACTGTGCATGATCGCTGTGTACTGAATGTTACAAGAAGGCAGACCTCTGTTTGTTCTCATGTCTTTATAAAAATAGAGGCTAACCTAAGGGGAAAAAATGCATTGATCTTCAGAGACTTCATTGGTATGTAATATATTTGAAAGGGGATACTCTTTTCATGGTAGTTTATTTTGTAATAAATTAAAAGTTAAACTTGAATCAAACTTTTACAGGGCCCCTGAGACACTTCAGTAGAATGCAGTTGAAAACCACTGACTAGATAATCTCTCGTTGCCAATCCAGTACTAACATTCTGTGATTCTGGGAATCTAAAATTTTTTTTTGGAGGGGGCGGGAAACTAAATTATTCTAAGTATTGGCAGTTTTAAGTATTCTTAAAAGTATCTGTGTTACTGATAAACTGTAAGGCAGAAAAGACTAAGACGTATTTTCCTAAAGAAGATATCATCCATTATAGAAAAGGAACTGGCCTGCTGTTATTTTCACACTGTTTGTGGACTTCCTCTTACAGAAGGTTCTGGATTTTGGAACACGTCAGGATGTGTGGCACACAGAGATTCAGATGAGAGCGAGACGGTCTGCTTATGTAACCACCTCACACACTTTGGAGTTCTGATGGTAGGGGAGGAATTTCTAAACTCATTTTGAAATGATATAATTTGGGAAGGCATACTTCTTTTTGTAAGTCAGCCTTTTTAGATTGTGTTTTGGGAATTATTTCCTGATAATTGATATCTATATCTTGAATCTTTCTAACCAGCAGAGATCACATATTTAAAATTTATAACAGTAATTATAAAAAAGAACCTTAGTTTTTTTTTCTCCAGTAGCATTAATAGCAATGATAAGTAATCCTGGAAACAAGAAAATCACCATGATATTCTTGAAAAGTTAAAGAGGAAGAAAATGTTGGATTTAACTAACATGGAGGGGAACTGTGAAAAGTCTGATAAAATGTTCTTGCATTATCACTCTTTGGATTGAATGTGACTTTATAGCAGGTATTGCGCTAGGTAATCCAGCTGTCACCCAAAATGATGCACCACCGCCCTTGCCCTAAGAGCATGGCCTGTTAGAACAGACTAGGGTCTAAGACAGCATGAAGTCTTCAGGCCTGAAAGAGAAGTGATGGGTGTGACATGGGTCTCTTACCACTAGGCCTTCATATTAATCCTTTCTTCCCTTCTACCTTCCTTTCTTGCTTCCTTCTTTTCCTTCCTTCCCATGGCCCTAGTTTTATCTCATTATCCAGCCTATCCAACAGTTCTAGACAAAAATTAGATCACATAGACTTGTTTTTTTTTTCATCCCACCAAATTTTCAAAAGCCATGCTCTATGCAACTTGTTTGAATTCATCTACAGACTTATACTCTATCTTATATCTAATACACTAGTGTTTTTGCAGATACTTTTCTGGTGTGCAGTGCATCTTCCAGCTTGTAATATAGCTGTTGTTTCTGATATTTGGTATAGTTCCCAGGGATTAAACCACATTTGTTTTCCAATGATGATGGCAGTAATGTATGCTGAAGAGAGTAAAGCCTTTTGAACATGGATTGCAGATACCATGGTTATGTTTATCCCCTCCCTTAGATCTTACCCCTACTTCCTGTAGTACTAAGCAGGAGCAGTAGGGGCTGTGGCATATGGCATTAGGCTCATGAACCCACTTGGCCATTGTCAATATGGGCATCCCATAAGTAATTTTCCTGACAGTCTACTGCATCATGCTCTGAGGGATAAAAAACTTGTCATTGAAAAAGGAAACAATCATAGCGAATAACTTTTTAACTTTCCCAAAATATAAATATTTTTCTTTCTGCCAGAGCATGAAAATGAACAATTAAACTGTGTTTTCCCTAAGAAAAACAAACAAACAAACAAAAAAAAGAAAAACAAACAAAAACCTCTCAATTTTTAAAAAAGATTTTATTTATTTATTTGAGAGAAAGAGAGAGCGAGCGAGCGCTAGGGAAAGGACAAATGGAAAGGGAGAGAGAATCTCAAGCAGACTCCACATTGAGGGCAGAGCATGATGCCAGGCTCTCTCTCCTGACCCTGCAATCATGACCTGAGCCAAAATTGAGTCGGATGCTTAACTGAGCCACCCAGGTGCCCCAAAATACTTTCAGTTTTAAATTTCATGTTCTCCTTTTCCCAAAAGTGACAGCAGACATTCTTTTTAAAAGCATTTACCTTGTATCTTTATTCATTTAGGTATATAAACTTTAGCTTAATTCATTTAACTATTTGAATTGTGTACATGTGAACACATGTATATGTATGCATGTGCATGTGTGTGTGTGAGCAGGATTATGTACCTTGTAGGTCTAAGATTAAATAAATAGGTAACAGTTCAGTATAGTTCAGTATACAGCAGTGGTTTACATGTAACCACAGTTTGGCTTCCCATTACTTTGGTTAGTTTCTTCATACACTGTTTGAATTTTATTATGAATTTGTTACTGTGTATTTCTCTGTTGTCATTTTATTAAATAATTAGTTTTACATATATATGAACATATGCATTTTTTTTAGTTCTATTCTTTCCATCTTGGTGCTCTTATTTTTATTTATTTATTTATTTATTTATTTATTTATTTATTTATGCTCTTATAAGATTATATAGTACTAAGAGAAAAACTTTCCAGAATTTATTCTTCCTAGAGATGTCCCATTCCTCTCGGCTTTTCAAGACCACCAAGACTTTGTTAAGAGTTTTCATGCTTTACTTTATTCACTCTTTATTCACTAGTCACTTGTAAGATATTCCCAGAGTCTACATTGCCCTGTGACACTTTTACCATATGAGAAGTTAAAAAAATGCACCCCAGCCCCATAATTATATCTTCTAATCTACAAATGTATGAAGGATTTAGTGTTCCCTGTTAACATTTCTCTGTAGTAAAACTGATTTTAATACTTTTAACATTAGTACATTTTCATGTTGGCTAGGTCAGAGGAATAAATATTTTCATATTCTTTGTTCTCTAAAAGTACAAAACAGCATGAGAGTTGTGTTTGAATGTGTAATAATAAACAACATTATTTTATTTAATTTACACTTTAAATTGTGATTTTAATTGTGGATTGCAAGTCTACCCCCTTGCTTAGATGGGAGCCATAGGTTTTGCAAGAGGTAATGACAAGTCACTTGTAGATTCCTCAAGACTTTCTCTGCTCCATGAAATCCTGGAGTAACCAAAATGTTGGTCAAGGTAACCTATCTGTGAGTCCACTGGCACTGACTTGAACGCCATCCCCAAGAAGGCTCCATTTTTGAACATCTGCATAATGGAGGTATCTTTTCTCCTCCAACCAGCATTGAGTGGATAGTCTTAGCTCAAGATTTATCCCTAACCCAATTCCCTACTTAAGAAGAAAAAAAAAAGACTTTGCAATCTTTTTCTCCTTTTGCAAGTCTGCTTCTGCACAGTGAAATTAATACTTCATGTTAATATTCTAGAAAGTGTTTACTTCTTTCTATCCTACAACCTCTAACACTTTAAATGGTGCTCTTTCAGGTCTACAGAGGTTAAAATTTAAGGAAAAAAGTAACAAAAAACAGCCATGATCTAAAACTTTATAGTAGCTTCATATTTATTTAAAAAAAAATAAATAAAGGCCACTCAACCCAATACATGCCAAGCTTTGAAATGACAATGGTTAAGATCCTTTGTACTACACTCAGAGGTACCAGTCTCTGGCTGAGCCCTTCCTATTGGACATAGAAGCCAAAGTTTGCCTGAAGGCTCACATTGACCATGGTGGCCTCCATTTGTACTTGTGTCCCTAGCCCTGCAAATGTTAGGAATGGGCCTGATAATTTATTCTGCAAGGCAGTGACCTCCTCCCCATTTTCTGATGGGAGACCGACCCAGTGGTTTTGTTCCTCAGGCTATCCTGGTGTGCAAAGAATTTAGATTACAAGGTAATGATAGAAAGCAACCTGCAACTCTCTCAGTAATGCTACACTTTTGCTTCATAGAATGATCTGCAAGAGCACAATAAATGAAATGCACTGTTGTTTTTAGCCCTAAGATGGAGCTAAGACTGTAAGTGCTAGCAATGACCTTTCTAATAAAATACCATTCCCATGAAAAGAGAGATTCTTAACAGCTACTTCCCATGTTTTATGCAGGACCTTCAAGGAACTGCCTCACAGATAGATGCAAGAAACACCAAAGTTCTCACCTTCATCACCTATATTGGGTGTGGGATATCTGCTATCTTTTCAGCAGCAACTCTCCTGACGTATGTTGCTTTTGAGTAAGTATTTTTATATCTGTCAAAATCCAGGGCTAACTGTCCCAAAATGTGAATAAGAAAATTGCCTTTGCTTTTAAAAATACTTATATGCTTTTTGAATCATGTATAGTGATTCAACTCTAATATTTAGGTTTCTCATAACATATATCATACAATATAAATTTCGCAGTATAGAATCTTCATTTATAATTATTGTATTTCTATGGATAAAATGCATTTAAACCTGTAAGAGATGATTAACACATATATACAAATTGTACGAAGTGCTTTTTACATGGTAAGAGATGAAAACTTTTGTTTCACAGATCTTATAAAATTAGTCCTGAAATAGAAAACTTTTTTTTTTTAAAAAAAGAGTTTTTATTTATTCATTTGAGAGAGGGAGAGAGAGCAAGAACACGAGCAGGGAGGAAAATCCAGTGGAAAGGGAGAAACAGACTCCCTGCTGAGCAAGGAGCTCAACTGGGCTTGGTCCCAGGACCCAGGTATTATGACCTAAGCTGAAAGCAGATGCTCCACCCACTGAGGCAGCCAGACTACCTCCCCAACAGTACCTTAAAAAAAAAAAAAAAATCCTTACCTCATTAAGAAAATTTAAGGGAAATTGTTTTATTATAACAAAAATATCATTTTTATAACTAGCATTTTTCCTGGATTAAAAAAAAAATCTGTTGAAGCTAACTGGAAATTTGGTAAACAATTGCAGTTTTGAAATGAAATTAATATTAAAAAACTTTATAATTTGCCAAATACTCATAAATATCTTTAAATATTTCTACATAAAAACAAATCTCCTCCTCCTCGTGGAGTCATGTCACAATGATGCTACCTAATCCACTACAGAGCTTTACAGAAGACAGGAATTTACTGCCTGTGCTTAAGAGATTAATTTACAGTATTCCTTCTCATCTTTTTTTCCCCCTTTTCAGAAAATTGCGAAGGGACTATCCCTCTAAAATCTTGATGAACTTGAGTACAGCCCTGCTGTTCCTGAATCTCCTCTTCCTCTTGGATGGCTGGATCACCTCGTTTCATGTGGATGGCCTTTGCACGGCAGTTGCTGTCCTGCTCCATTTCTTCCTTCTTGCAACCTTTACCTGGATGGGTCTAGAAGCCATTCACATGTATATTGCCCTGGTTAAAGTATTTAACACTTACATTCGCAGATACATCCTGAAATTCTGCATCATTGGCTGGGGTAAGCCTCCTAAAAAGTGTTGGTTTCACGGAAACCACCAGTTTCATAGGAAAATCCTATTTTGGAAGCTTAGCATTGCTAAAAGAAACTTCAAAATTGTGAACGATGTGGATTTGATGTACACATCCCAAGGCAGGGGCTTCCTTGGTATGGTATTTTTTAAAATTATTAAGCTGTCCTTACTAAACTCAGGAGTAAAGGAAAAAGCCTTAGCCTCCTGAGTCACCACAGACTTATTTCCTGTGATCAGAGCCAGCCCACCCAAGTCTGAAGAGGCAGCTGGCAGACAGTGGTGCCTTTCCATTATGTTTCAAAATATAAAGGCCAGCTCAGACTCCTAGCTATCCTCACCCCCTAAATACATGCCCATGTCTTGGAAGCAGTGAGAGAATGTTATTTTTGTGTGTGCATCCAGAATACTGACAAAATTCTTGCCTTGAACTTCTCAACGTGATTCCTCAGCCAGACATGGATGCTACCATTAGCCTCTTTGGAATCTTCTAAATGGGCTTCTTTTTTATCTGGCTTCATATTGGAGCAAACCTTTAGAAGGGTTTTTTTTTTTTTGTTGTGTGTGTGTGTGTGTGTGTGTGTGTGTGTGTGTGTGTGTTTTGGTTTTGCAGGTGGCAATATAAATGTATGGGATATTTCCAAGGTGTTTGATGCTAAAAGTGTCTTTCAGGGAATTAGAGTGGTGTGGTTTTCTCCAGTGAAATATGTATGAAAATACTTGATTCTCTCGAGAGAAAAGAGGAGAATATAAAAATTTTATAGCCCCATGCTTTCTTCCCCACTGTTTCTAAAGAGTTTTCTTTACATAGAAAGGGGCAAAATAAGCTGCAGATCCTTTACTGCCCAAACTCTGGCAGAATGACAGCTGTCATTAATGAAGCACATTTGCTTCTGGATTCAGAATAAATGAGGTTCTGGTTCTCTAATGAGTAAGAGTAAGAAAACACAATATTTAAAGATTTTATTTATTTATGAGAGACACACAGAGAGAGAGAGAGAGAGGCAGAGACACAGGCAGAGGGAGAAGCAGGCTCCATGCAGGGAGCCCAACGTGGGACTTGATCCCAGGACTCCAGGATCATGCCCTGGGCCAAAGGCAGGCACTATACCGCTGAGCCACACAGAGATCCCACACAGTATTTAAATATCTGTATTTAAGAGTGGGTTTTAATTGTTGCCATTTAGACTTGGATATTTCACACCAAAGAGGGGACTGCATTGTTCCTTTTATCCAAGTTTCCAGTTCTAAAACAATTGGATTCTGTGATATAGAGGGTTTTCTTTCTCTCCTTTTTTTCTCTTGCCATTATCAGTCTTATAAAGCAGTTCCAGATGCTCAGAACAGTTGCTTATGTCATGGTCTTTCTATAACAGGTCTGCCTGCCCTGGTTGTGTCCATTGTTCTGGCAAGCAGAAACCAAAATGAGGTCTATGGAAAAGAAAGTTATGGAAAAGAACAAGGTGATGAATTGTAAGTAATAAAAACTTGTTGGAAATTTATTTGTGATGAGTACATATCCTTTGCTTCCTGGGGTGTAGTGCAAGTTCCCAGGCCAGTAGGGAGCCTCTTAGTTTGGAAGGTTGAAAATGTGTCTGTGTGCCTTTGCTGACATCTCTGCTGCTCCATAACTGTATTGGGCTGGGTACCCTGCCTCCTAGAGCTGCTTCCCCACGTTAACCTGCACTCTGTCACCTGGGGGACTGCAGAGGAAGTCTGGTATATGGTCTTCCAGGCTCAGAAGACCCGTCCTGTGAGGGCATTCTGTAATACTCCCCTTCTTTAAGCGCACACGTTTCAAGAAAATTAAATCATTATTTATATTTGGTAAATTCCCTTCAGAATAATCAGTGGAATCAGTGTGGAATCATTGAGGCCTAGATTGGGATGTTCTTCACTTTTATCCAGCCCATAATAGGTACTCAATAAATATTTGTTGATTGAATGAATTATTGGATGCAGACAGAGCTTACTCCTGAGATGAGACCCATGAGACCACATCTCTGCGCGTGTTTCGTGGATGGAGAACATTTTCATATTAAGGCAGTGTCTAATCTGTGCTCATTCCCTCATAGACTTCCATTCTCTTATAGTTCCAAAGCAGCACTCAAAATATCCCACAAGAACTAGTGGAAAATAGAGGAGCTAGGTCAGGAACTTCTGGATTCTAAGGGGACTTCCATATGTAAGGGGATATTAGTGCCAGAGACAAGCAGCATCTTTTAGAGGGTTATTATAATAAGATACATTAAAAGTAGAAGTCAGTCCCAAATAAGGGAATTTTACAAGTATGTCAATCAACTCTCACAGGGCTTTACACTACATTGTAGTAAATTACCATGCCATCAACAGTGTCATTTGTTGAGCATTTATTATATGCCAGGAATCATGTTATGTTCTGGGATCCAAAGATGTTCAAGACAGGTTTTGCCTTTGTGGCACTCATGATCTAGTGTGGAATACATAACCCAGAATGAGAATTTCATGAGAATTTTAATATGAATTTAATTGCTTTAAACAATTTATCCAATTTTTGAGGTACCCAAGAACTCCCATAGTATTAATTAGGTACTGGGGCATCTGCAAATTGTACTATATGTTGACTTTACTCATAGAACACTTTACACATGGTGCAGTTTTAAAATTACTTTATTTCCTGATTTATAAATATCATTCTGGATATCAGGTATATCCTTCCTCATCTCATAGAAGTGTTGTAATTGGTGTAAGCTTTTTAACTGTTCATGAGACGTGTCACTATAGGAATATCACAGTTCTATAACAAGGTCTTGCCTCAACTGGGCCAATTATATTAACAGGAATTATTTTGCAGCAGTAATGGAATCCGTGATTATGTGTGTCTTAAGTAGGAATTTACTCTTCTCACATGACAAGAGACATGAAAGTAGACCGCAACTGGCATTGGTTTTATGGCTAAAAATGTCAGGACCAGCAACTCTGCAGCAGTCTTGGCCTTTATCTCAGATAGAAGGTGATCGCTGTAACTCCGGAGCTTGCATTCATGTTGGAAGCAGAAAGAACAAATAAGGATCTCTCCTAAAAAGCTCCTAGCAGATTTTGCTTCTATATCATTTTGTAGAGCAATGTCCACATGGCCACCCCTTAAATGCAAAAGAGATTGAGAAAATGAATACTTAAATTTCCCATTCTCTGGAGTACAGTCGCATAAGAGAAAAGGGGTTAGACATGGTTTTGAGTGAGCCAACCCAAAGTGTCTTCATGCCAAGTCAGAATTCAAGAAGCCACCTTGTTTTTTTTTGTTGTTGTTGTTGACTTAAATAACTCGATATTAAGATGATGGTTATCCAAAACTAGCCAAAAAAAAACTGTGTAAACATCAAAAAAGAAACTGAGGCCCAAGAAAATGAAGTGACTGTCTAAAGGTATTGAGAAAGGCCCAGCTGTGAAATCTGCAGAAGCCCAAACTAAACCAAGAGAAGTCTTAGGTAAACAGAACATGGTAATAAATCTCTTTTTCTTTTTTGTTTCTTCTTTAAGCTGTTGGATTCAGGATCCAGTCGTATTTTATGTGACCTGTGCTGGGTATTTTGGAGTTATGTTTTTCCTGAATGTTGCCATGTTCATCGTGGTAATGGTGCAAATCTGTGGGAGGAATGGCAAAAGAAGCAACCGGACCCTGCGTGAAGAGGTTTTAAGGAACTTGCGCAGTGTGGTCAGCCTGACATTTCTACTGGGCATGACATGGGGTTTTGCTTTCTTTGCCTGGGGACCCTTAAATGTCCCTTTTATGTACCTCTTCTCCATCTTCAACTCATTACAAGGTAAGATAAGTGGTACCTTTGTAATTTCTGCCTTCTAAATGTATCATGTTTGCAAACACCTCCATTTTGGGGTAGATGTCATGCGAAGTTTCTACATCATTGTTCCAAGTAATGAACATAGTTCCAGGTACAGGGTACTCATTAAAAGGATCTTGAATAGAAAGATGAGATAGAATGTCAGTTTGTTTTCAATGATGTGTATCCCAAGCACTCAGAACAGTACCTGGCAGATAGTAGGTGCTCAATAAATCTACATTGTTTTATGACTAAATATGGGGTGGGGAGGTACCCAATGGGGAGTTTAAAGGGAGACACAGGCAACTTTTACCTTCTTCACAGTTTTCCTTACTATCCTATGTGCATGTAACATTCTTGGCCAGGAGAATTTTTAAAATCTATGCAGGAACAGAGCAATAGCCCTTGACTCCTTGGCCCCTTGGAGTTCAAAATACATACTGTAGTTCAGAAATGCTCATTTTCTCATGAGATATGGCAGTTAGTTCAACAGTTTAACAAACATTTGCCCAGTGGCCCACTTTGTACAAAAATTGAAGGCTTCCATTGAGGAGCTTCCTGTCCTGCTTCTGGTTCCATAACACATACCTGCTTCTGGTTCTAGACTCTATGGGTGAATTTCATGTTGAAACTTAAATAAATACGAATTACATCTTTCAAAAGCTGAACGACATTCTTTAAGATATTGGATATACCTTGGGTTATTGATAAAGCTCCCCAATGTTCAGAAGCACCATAAGGCCCCCACAAAAAAGGAATGAAGTTACCAAACTTGGACTTTATTGAGGGGGTGGGTACTCCAGGCTTCCTGAAGTTCCTGGTCATGCTGTTTAAGTGTGTGGGGAAAGGAGAGCTGGCTAAAGCTGAACTGGGGTGCATAGGGTGGTGGATGCAAGTTTACAGCATTCATCCAACGAGATGCCTGGGCAGTTGCCCCCCCTTACAGGTATGTTCTAAGAGAAGTTGGTATTTACCTGCAGGGGAGTGTTTATTTTGTATCATACATACCTGTTTTGCTTTACCCCCTAGTTTTCCTTCCAGCTCCTTAGTGCCTGCAAAAAAAAAAAAAAAAAAATCTGTCATGAAGTAGGTGCTCAGTGATTGTTAAATGAGTAAATGGATTGCTGGATGAAGAAAGGGAGGAGCCTTGGAGATGGCCTAAATCCAACCTGAGTCTCTTCTGGCATAAATAGGCATTTATTAGTTCAGCAAATTTTATTCGGGTTCACTCTTCCATAACAGAGGAAATATGTGGGCTCATTATCTTTGGTAAATAGAATAATAAGCCTTAAGTACATCTCCAAAAGTCAGAAACTGGATAGGTAGCATATGAATAGCAACTTCATATCTAGCTTTGTAAAGTGAGCATTCCTCTATGTAATCTCTTCTATAATATACAACATAAAAGTGCCTAGATAAATATTGACAAAAATGTCCATTAACATTAGAAATTCCATGGTTTTATATTTCAGGCCCATTAATCTGCCAGCCCAACCTTGTTTTTGCTTTTAGAATTTCCTGGCAGTTTCAGTAACCTTCAACAGCTACAGTTGTCTGTTCAGCTCTGTTTCCATTAATGAGAAATGGGATGTTTTATTTTTCCCAGCATAGGTCTCCTGTCAGAAGGGAAAAATGTTCTAAACCATCATCAAGTCACAGTTCTCCATAAATCGCTAACTTTTAAGACTAATGTTAAATTATATAAATTTAGAACAGATTTCTGCATATCCAGTGACATTAAAAACACTTCCTGAAAAGGAAATTTAAATTAAAACACAGTGATACAGAGCATATGAGTCCACCAACAATTGCTTACTGGCTGGGCTTGTATAAAAACTTGTCAGGATGCTATAGAAAGTCACTTAATGGTTTTTATTTAAGTCATTTTCTGAACCTTCCAAGAGCAGCTTGGCTGTTGTTGAAAGTATATGCTTTATTAAAAGATGCATGTAGGATCTAGACAGTCTAAAGAAACAATTCAGTGAACTCAGGTAGTACCTAGGCAAAATAAACTCAGGTAGTACTTAGGCAAACTACATTTTTTTTTTATTCTTTCTATTTTTATTCCCGCAAAAAAACTTGATATGATCCCTTTGTCTCATGGAGTTTATATTTTAGTAAGAGAGACCAACATTAATCAGATAGTCACCGTATGAAATGGAGCTGGTTGGTGTTGAGAGCACATGACAGAAGCCATGGTGGCTAAGCTGGAATCTGAAGGATCAGTAGGGATGAACTAGATGAAGGTGGGGGTAGGAATGGAGAAGAGATGATTTCAAGAGGAGGGCACTCTGTGTGCAAAAAGCCTGCAATAGTTGGTGATTATAGTGTATGCCCCAGGAATTAAAAGAACCAAGAAATAGCCATAGAATGACAGAGAGGTGGGCATGGCACAAAAGGAAGGCTGGGGCTGGACCAGAAGGTTCTGTGTTTTGATCTTTCTTTCTAAGAACAGTGGGAAGTCTGAAATCTTTTAGGCCTGTGGAATGACATGATCAGATGTGCATTTTATAAAGATAAAGCTGGACATAATGTGAAGAAGGGATTAGAGCATCCCAGTAGTCTGTTGGGAAAAGCAGAGAGGAGGCTATTTTAGTCATCCAGGAAAAATAATACAGTGCAGTATTGTAGACTGTGCTGGGATGGGGGAGCTGGAGATACACAAATAGAGTCCAGAGAAATTTTGGAATTGTGCTGCCACAAAATACTTATCACTGGTGTACTCAATAAACTTTTATTCTTCTAGAATGGTAAGGATGAGTGGTCTTCTTGCTTAATGCCATGCTGTCGCTAATTGAAGCCTATCATTATTAGATTTAAAAATGGCCGAAGATTTAGAATGTGATACAATATTCTGAAAACTAAATCTATGCCAAACAAATGTTAATCTCGGATTTAGCTTGGTGCTGAGCATATGAAAATCAGCAAGGTCTTAATTTTGAAGACCCCCAAGTTACCCTTGCATGTTACAGAGATGGCACCTCTGAGAAGGACAGGTGTTCACATTGGGTCTGCAGGGAGGCCAGGACATCTTTATCATAGGAGTGGCTTCTGCTAGCAGGTTTCTTCTTATTTTTGTATATATCTTCAAAACTTTTGTTCAAACGTGAAAAATCCGTTTTATTTTTCAGGGTTCTTAGAAACAAATGCTTGTATGGATATGAGTGTCTTCAAACACACATACATATATGTATGATTATATGGATATTTATGTAAATTTGCATCTACATATTAAAATTTATATGATTTTTAAAAATTTTTAAAGATTCTTATTTTAATGTTTATTTTCATTATTTTATGTTTTAATTTTTATGTACATTTATGTACATTTATAACCCTTGGCAACTTAACTGCCAAAAGTAGGGCTGAGCTCATATTAGAAAATTATTATCATCTGTGTGGCTGTAGCTAAAATTTTACCTACTTGAATAAGCAAATGAAATCATGAATTGAATCAAGCCTAAACCTAAGTTAATTGTTTTCTAATTTTCCACAGTATATTGCTTTTTTTTATGACCTCCTTCACTTCAGTATGCTATATTTTATTAATCAATCTGCTGTTTTTTTTTCTTGTGAGATGAAAAGATCAATGGATCTTCTCTTGCCATGGTGGTATTATAGATCTATCTGCTTTTGCTATCATTGTTGCTTTCCCAGGATGAAACTGGCAGATCTTGCTGTAGTAGAAATTTTAAGTTTTTCTAAAGAATACAACTTGAGAAAATAGTATGCTATACAAATTGCTATTTAAAAGGGAGCAGATGTTTGACAAAATGTGTATCGTAATTCACATGCCTGAGAATATTAGCCTACACTTCAGGAAATACAACATCACTCATTTTAAAGAAGTAAAAGACGATTCCCTGATTGTTGAAAGATGGTGGCCAGACTCCTCTTGGGCTCCTCTTGCCCTTGGCAATATCATTGTGCTTGCAGGATGGACTATTGCTCTGAGATGAAATATATGCCCATAGTTGCTCATTATAAAAGTAATGAACAGTATGTAGGCTGTATATTTTTTTCATTAACTGTACAAAAGCATTTGACACTATCAGTTAGTTTCATACTCCTGACAAGTTTATCAAGAGCTGAAGTCTAGTCCCATAGCAAGAAGTTGGTCTTCAATTTTCCTTTTTGAGGTATGTGAAGCAATATTGATTAATACTCCCAAGCACAATCAGCCCATCTTCTGTACATATTTATGACAGCATAATAAGATGCAGCATATGGTTCTGAAAATAGGAGCTGCCATGGTGAACACAGAAGGTTTTTATCAGTTTACTCAGAGATAATGTTTGCCATTAATTAATTTGATAACATTAAGATAGACCCAGAGCAACAGAAATAATTTATATGCACATAATGCATTGTGGTTTATAAAGAACTAACACACAACAGCCATGATTCAATGTAATTCTTAAAGTATGTGTAGAAAGTAGGTACCCAAGAAAGAGAGTGTTTTATGCATTTATAGTTGAAGAAACAGGCTCAAAAGAGTTAAGGACCCCCCAAGATTAGTCTGAATCTGACAGTGTATTATTTACAATATAGCATATATGAAAATAGAAAAGCACATTATTAGGAAACAAAGCATAAGAAAAAAATTATTGCCTTTTCAATTTTTTGTTTCAAAGTTTCTAGGAGTATCTATCCATTGAAAAAACTTAGTAATTATATGCTTAATGAATAAATGCTAATTTATTCTTAGCCTTATTCAGAAAAAATAGTTTAGAGAAATACATTTGTTATTATTATTTTAATCTTATTGGTAAACTAAGAAAATTAAAGTAAGGGATAGGAACCTCCTGACAGCTAAGCTGTGTTGTAATCACCTATACAACATGGGGAATTGGTGCCAAGTTAAAGAGATGAACCACCTTTAAACCCAAACATCTGAAACGACATCATGATGGCTGAGATGTTACACATTACAAGGAAATTAATTACTCATCTTTTGGCAGGGCATTTTGTGCCACAGAAAAATA